TCTATTAAATGCTGCTTTATGGGTTATACTATTTCACACAGGCTATGTTGCTATGATCCATGCTCTAACAAATTTCGTATTTCTCGTCATGTTGTCTTCTTTGAGAATCAACCTTTCTTTTCTACACATGTTGAGTCGTTGCCTGAAATTAGTGTTCTTCCTTATTTGGATAACTTGCCTTTTTTTCCTGAGCGGTTTAAACCTGGATTTGTGTATGAACGACGTCGACTGAATTCGCCCCTTCATGAGTCTAACCCATCATCTGAGATTGTTCAGCCGACTCTTCCCGAGTCTGACTTGCCATCTGAGACTGGTCTGATTGCTTCTTCCGAGCCCGGCGCACCTCTTAAGCCTGGTCCTAGACGTTCTACCAGAGTTTCTCGTCCTCCTGATTGGTATGGTTTTCATGCTTCTGTTAATGCTACGTTGTCTTTTACTTCTATTCCTACATGTTACTTCGAGGCTTTCAAACATGACTGTTGGCAGAAGGCAATGGATGAGGAACTTCGGGCTCTTCAAGAGAATCATACTTGGGACATTGTTCCTTGCCCATCTACTGTTAAAGTCATTGGTTGCAAATGGGTTTATTCAATTAAGCTTTGCTCTGATGGGACCCTGGATCGCTATAAGGCACGGTTGGTTGCACTTGGTAACAGGTAGGAGTATGGAGTGGACTATGAGGAGACATTTGCTCCAGTGGCAAAGATGACTACCGTGCGTACTGTTCTTTCCATTGCAGCTTCGCAGGGTTGGCCATTTCACCAGATGGATGTCAAAAATGCTTTTCTTCATGGTGATCTCAAGGAGGATATTTACATGGCACCTCCACCGGGTTTGTTCTCCTCTCCTTCTTTAGACGTGTGCAAGTTGAAGCGGTCTCTCTATGGCTTGAAACAAGCTCCTCGGGCATGGTTTGAAAAGTTTCGGTCTACCTTGATATGCTTCTCATTTGTGCAGAGCCAATATGACTCCTCTTTGTTTCTTTGTAAGACCTCTTCTGGTATTGTCCTCCTATTTGTTTACGTAGATGATATTGTCATTACAGGAACGGAATCCTTATTGATTACCCGACTCCAGCACCATCTTTAGGACTCCTTTCATATGAAGGATCTTGGTCCTCTTACGTATTTTTTAGGATTGGTTCTTCGGGTATATTTGTGAATCAACACAAATATATACAAGATTTAATTGCTTTGGCTGGACTTCAGGATTCTACTTCGGTGGATACTCGTCTAGAAGTGAATGTGAAGTACCGTCGTGATGAGGGTGAACTCCTTCCTGATCCTACCATGTTTCGACAGTTGGTTGGCAGCTTGAACTACTTGACTATTACACGACCTGATATCTCTTTTGCAGTTTAGTAGGTTAGTCAGTTTATGCAAACTCCATGTCATCGTCATTTAACTGCTGTTCGTCGTATCATTCGGTATCTCCAAGGATCTGCGAGTCGTAGATTGTTTTTTCCTGTTGGTTCTCCTCTTCGCCTTACTAGTTTTAGTGATGCTGATTGAGCTGGGTGTCTAGATACTCGTCGTTCTGTTACAGGTTGGTGTATGTTTCTTGGCAATTCCTTAATATCCTGGAAAAGTAAAAAACAGGCTCGTGTTTCCAAATCCTCAACTGAATCCGAATATCGTGCGATGTCTGCTGCTTGCTCGGAGATTGTTTGACTTCGTGGGCTCTTGGCTGAGCTTGGCTTCCCTCAATCTAATCCCACTCCTCTACACGTTGATAATACGAGTGTAATTCAGATTGCTTCTAACCCTGTTTATCATGAGCATACGAAGCATATTGAAGTAGATTGTCACTCTATTCGGGAAGCTGTGGATACTCGTGTCATGTCCTGTCCGCATGTTTCCACCGATCTTCAGATAGTTGATGTGTTTACCAAGGCTATGACTCAACAACACCATTATTTTCTTGTAAACAAATTGATGCTTCTTGATCGACCAACATCAATTTGAGGGGGGATGTCACTGGGATATGGGATATGTATGTTGTCATTACCCGCACATATCTATCCATATTTACTATATATGTTTATTGTATATTAACTGTCAATATTTGTAATTAGTAGGGAATATTGCATTTCATATTTAGATAGATTAGGAGCTGTAATTAGCAAACTTTTTGGCCAGTATTATGCTCTGGAGTTTCTATTTAATAGAAGAAACTCTTTCATTGAGAGGTATTCGGTATCATTGACAGGTGGAGCTTATAATTTATAGGCGTCTCTTAACAGATTGAGACGTTTTTCTCGTATCAAGTGAGATAGTTCAATGGAGGTTGCACCTTCTTGTATCAAGCGAAACAATTTTGTGAAGGTGGTGATGTGCGTATCTCAAGGAGATCTTTTTGTATGTTAGTTATGGATTGAGTTTTTTATGATGGCGTGGTTGACCTGACCTAGTTTTCTCTATCTAGTGGTAGGTGTGACGTCTCAAAATTTGGGTGTACGTAATTACTCAGTTGATCACCTATCAACCCGTGAAATACCCGTGGATACTATGTTATTCGATACTACACCGTTATGCCCCATTTACCGGGATTCATAACTCAACAAAATTCGTGCAGAGTCTCTTTTGTATGGAGAACTCTACTCAAAATGTAACTTGTGCAATCATACAACACTGACTATACCAGATCTATTCATCCATACTCAATTACATAGTATCGGATACTACCATAATCATCATCACTACCTACATTTATTCATAAAAGAATAAATGTCTCAAAAGAGTCTCATATACATGCCTTTTAAATATAAACAAGTTTTTGTTCCAAAAATTATGCAAGGCTAAAAGTAAACATATACAAGGGACTACGACGTCAAAATAAGAGCCACAGTTTGGCTCTCTCGTCAAAACGGACCAGTAAAAGCGCCTTCAATCAAAGTATGTGGTGTACCTGAAAATTATTTTCATAAAGGGTGAGTCAACGCTCAATAAGATAACTCCTATAGAGAATACCTCTCAATCCAAATGCATATGAAATGTCACATACAACAATCATTTCATGCATTTATTCAAATATGTCTATTATGAACAAATATCATAAATCATGTCATGTCATGTCATGAGATGAGATTCACGCAAGCAATACCAACATTGAGCCCTATCCCGAGCTCCCACAACACATGAAATGTTATGCGCATGTATCCAGGCATTCAAGCCCCCGTCATTGGTGTTATGTACACTCAATGACTAATTAATTCATTTTCTTGTGTCTTTGTGCGGAGATGATTCATGGTATTTCACCAATGGAACATCACACCATCAATGGATTTTTAGGACATCCCACTTGTAGCTCCGTTTTTGCCGTTATACTTTTTTGGAATTTGACCGCCAAAAAGTGTATAAACCAAGTAAGCGGGTCTTGTATCCGATGGAGAATCTAGCCATTTAATTTTTCGTGCGATTCAGTCGGACCTTGGTTCGACTTTTTCGAGCCCACAATTAGCCACCTATGTGGTGATTGATTTCATACCATGCACACACTTCCACCCATGTCAATGCCCATGAATGTAGTGTAACCCATGCATAATGCAATATAATGTGCAATCGACTTTTTCGAGCCTTTAATACCATTTATAATGTTCATTATATAATGAATGTAATATAATGACATTTTTAACACTATTCCAAACATGTTATCTAAAATAATCAACTTAACTAACATACTTGTATTCACCTAGACATTTAAACAAACACCTAGAGGGCACATCAATTTACACAACTAGCATACTTATTATTTCTAACATGGCAACATGACATGTTTATTAATTCTATAAACATAAACATAAGTCCACCACACTAATCATATATTAAATAACAATTTAATATATATATTATTTCATAATCACATAACAAGTTAATAATTTTATTAAACCTGATATGCTATTAAAACATCAAGTCATGCTAATGTACAATTAACATGTTTTAAATCACTAACATTAACTTACACCAAGTTAATTATAATAGGATTTTACTAATTACAAGATTAATTATAAATCCTATATTTGACCCACTAGTTACACTAGTCAAGACCTAACATGTGATATACACCTTTAGCCTACCCATTTCTTATTTCATATTTTAGGTTGAAATTACATCTAAATAAAAGAAATCCTATCTCTCGTAGCGTGAACCCACATAGTAGAACTTCAAAGAAAGTCCGAATTTAATTTTTTAAGCCTTAACCCTAGATTCTCGTTTTTGATATTTTTGGAGAAAAATGCGATCTTTAGTGTGGTTGCGTAGCTCTCGTTGCGTAGAGCTACTTTAATTCTTGGCTGGAAGCGATTAAACTATTTAATCTTCGTAGATCTAAGAAAGAATGAAGGAGAAAAAAAATAAAAAAACTCATTTTTCTCTCTCTCACTCCCTCGGCAGGCTACCGGAGAAGAAAACAAAGTGGAAGATATCTTCCACTTTATAAAGTTTAAATGTGTGGCCCACATCGCGCCACACGTCTTCTTTTTAACAGGTCCAATTTTATTTTGAGTCAATTAAATCTCGTCTCGTGTTAAGTTTAGTATATTTTTATTGAACTAATTTTAAATTATTTTTCGGATCCTGCGAATAAAATCTGATCACAATTATTTTAGTCGCGTGACACCCGATTGCTTTGTAACACGTGAAAAATTCAATTGTCTCAGAATTTTACAAAAAATTATTGAGTAGCTAGATTTCGCAAGACGAATCCAACGGTGAGGTCCGTTTCGTCATTTAAATTATATAAAAATTCACGTTGTTGACCTGTGTTTTAACAATTAATTACTATTTTGCCCCTTTAATTAGGATTTTAATAATAAAAAAAAAATTCTAGGATTTTACAGTGGGCTTGGTCCGTATGTTTGAGGTGGGTCTAGTCTGTAATTTTGAATTGGGCCTCTGATCTGGATTTGCTATGGGCCGGGCCCATCAAAAATAATTATTTTTATTTAGAAAGATTTGAGCTATTCTCTATATGCTGTTGTTTCTAGTTCCTCTTATTCAATAATGGATGTGTATGCGAGAGAGAGAGAAAGAAGAGAAAAAAAAGGGGGGGGGGTGTGAACTCCTCCCATGAATTATCTAATGATTTGTATCTTGCTTGGTTTTTTTGGGACCCTGCAGGTGAATAATGCTGGGATTTTTGGAGCTATAACAGATGGTGATGGTATAAAAGCTGCAGTGACCGGTGTTAGTAGGGTGAGTTTTATGTGTGTATAAATAGCTATATCTAACAATTCCTTTGCTGCAAGCTAATGTGGAAGATGAATTTATAATGCAACCGCAATAATTAACTTGTTCTGGCAACAAAATTTAGAATGTGATTTGATTGAAGCACTTGGTCTTCCTTATGACTTGCTTTGAGATTACTGTTTTGATACTTTATAGATAAGCAAAGCGATCCATCTCACAAATCCTAGTTATTTTCTTCTCCTTTTTGCATTTGTTGGTCAGAGTCGTAAGTCTCATTTTAAATGGGAAAAAATCCCGTGGAGCATTAATGCAATGTTCTCCAGTTTTCTTCCATATCTTTACCAAAAACGATGATTATGAAATAGGGATTAAGCTTCCATTTTAGCTTGCATTGGTTTCATTTCCTTCAAAGTTGTTTGTTAACCCTCCTTTGAGTTTCTTACAGCAGGGTGAGCTAACTTATATATTCTTTGGTTGGCCTTCCAAAATTACTTGATTTTGTTTGGATTCGGCTACATGTAATTGATCTATGTCACTGACTTGACCTCTTTTCTTCTTATTTCTTTTGGTCTTTCTTTCTTCCATCACCAACACTACGACAGTGAATAGGGAAACGACTACTAATTGATCTTGGCTTCATTTTCACTCTTACTTTTATTGATGCAGACAGGAGGAACACAAATAAATTGGAATGAAATAATGACGCAGCCTTATGAATTTGCAGTAGAATGCCTGCAAATAAACTATTATGGCGCAAAAAGAATGATTGAAACATTTATTCCCCTCCTACAGTTATCTGATTCGCCAAGGATTGTAAATGTTTCCTCCGGCATTGGGAAGTTGAAGGTATATGGAACATAATTCTTCTTGAGATATAGAAATTTCAATCTGTTAAGTAATTTTATGGAGCTTGTTACTCGTTTTCAGTGAAATTTAGGAAGAGTTCAATTTAAAGCAGCAGATAAATTGACCTAAAATAGGGTAAAAGAAAAATTGAGTTTTCTAGTGGCTTCAATTAATTCAATTATTCAAACTCCACTCTAGAGCTGACTTGTTTAATCAAATCTACTTTTTTTGCCTTTGAATTGATCTTGTAGCTGATTAATAGATGCATTACTTGGTCAGCCTGTCTCATTCGTAAACAGTATATAGAAAGGTGTTACATCTATTGTCAGCGAACTATGGTTCCATTTACTAATCGGCTGCATGGTTTACGATGCCGATATTTGGGGTTATTGCACTAAGGCACAATTACAAGATGAAATTGGCAAGACAATTTCTTCTGAAAATTACTCGCCTTTAATCGTTTATGGAAGTGACTATGCCAACAGTTGAATTTTTTTCTTGACAAAATATGTTGTTTCAGAATATGTCGAATGAATGGGCTAAAGGAATATTAAGTGATGCTGAAAGCCTTACAGAAGAGAAAGTGGATGANTCCAAACATGTTATCTAAAATAATCAACTTAACTAACATACTTGTATTCACCTAGACATTTAAACAAACACCTAGAGGGCACATCAATTTACACAACTAGCATACTTATTATTTCTAACATGGCAACATGACATGTTTATTAATTCTATAAACATAAACATAAGTCCACCACACTAATCATATATTAAATAATCATTTAATATATATATTATTTCATAATCACATAACAAGTTAATAATTTTATTAAACCTGATATGCTATTAAAACATCAAGTCATGCTAATGTACAATTAACATGTTTTAAATCACTAACATTAACTTACACCAAGTTAATTATAATAGGATTTTACTAATTACAAGATTAATTATAAATCCTATATTTGACCCACTAGTTACACTAGTCAAGACCTAACATGTGATATACACCTTTAGCCTACCCATTTCTTATTTCATATTTTAGGTTGAAATTACATCTAAATAAAAGAAATCCTATCTCTCGTAGCGTGAACCCACATAGTAGAACTTCAAAGAAAGTCCGAATTTAATTTTTTAAGCCTTAACCCTAGATTCTCGTTTTTGATATTTTTGGAGAAAAATGCGATCTTTAGTGTGGTTGCGTAGCTCTCGTTGCGTAGAGCTACTTTAATTCTTGGCTGGAAGCGATTAAACTGTTTAATCTTCGTAGATCTAAGAAAGAATGAAGGAGAAAAAAAATAAAAAAACTCATTTTTCTCTCTCTCACTCCCTCGGCAGGCTACCGGAGAAGAAAACAAAGTGGAAGATATCTTCCACTTTATAAAGTTTAAATGTGTGGCCCACATCGCGCCACACGTCTTCTTTTTAACAGGTCCAATTTTATTTTGAGTCAATTAAATCTCGTCTCGTGTTAAGTTTAGTATATTTTTATTGAACTAATTTTAAATTATTTTTCGGATCCTGCGAATAAAATCTGATCACAATTATTTTAGTCGCGTGACACCCGATTGCTTTGTAACACGTGAAAAATTCAATTGTCTCAGAATTTTACAAAAAATTATTGAGTAGCTAGATTTCGCAAGACGAATCCAACGGTGAGGTCCGTTTCGTCATTTAAATTATATAAAAATTCACGTTGTTGACCTGTGTTTTAACAATTAATTACTATTTTGCCCCTTTAATTAGGATTTTAATAATAAAAAAAAAATTCTAGGATTTTACAGTGGGCTTGGTCCGTATGTTTGAGGTGGGTCTAGTCTGTAATTTTGAATTGGGCCTCTGATCTGGATTTGCTATGGGCCGGGCCCATCAAAAATAATTATTTTTATTTAGAAAGATTTGAGCTATTCTCTATATGCTGTTGTTTCTAGTTCCTCTTATTCAATAATGGATGTGTATGCGAGAGAGAGAGAAAGAAGAGAAAAAAAGGGGGGGGGTGTGAACTCCTCCCATGAATTATCTAATGATTTGTATCTTGCTTGGTTTTTTTGGGACCCTGCAGGTGAATAATGCTGGGATTTTTGGAGCTATAACAGATGGTGATGGTATAAAAGCTGCAGTGACCGGTGTTAGTAGGGTGAGTTTTATGTGTGTATAAATAGCTATATCTAACAATTCCTTTGCTGCAAGCTAATGTGGAAGATGAATTTATAATGCAACCGCAATAATTAACTTGTTCTGGCAACAAAATTTAGAATGTGATTTGATTGAAGCACTTGGTCTTCCTTATGACTTGCTTTGAGATTACTGTTTTGATACTTTATAGATAAGCAAAGCGATCCATCTCACAAATCCTAGTTATTTTCTTCTCCTTTTTGCATTTGTTGGTCAGAGTCGTAAGTCTCATTTTAAATGGGAAAAAATCCCGTGGAGCATTAATGCAATGTTCTCCAGTTTTCTTCCATATCTTTACCAAAAAAGATGATTATGAAATAGGGATTAAGCTTCCATTGTAGCTTGCATTGGTTTCATTTCCTTCAAAGTTGTTTCTTAACCCTCCTTTGAGTTTCTTACAGCAGGGTGAGCTAACTTATATATTCTTTGGTTGGCCTTCCAAAATTACTTGATTTTGTTTGGATTCGGCTACATGTAATTGATCTATGTCACTGACTTGACCTCTTTTCTTCTTATTTCTTTTGGTCTTTCTTTCTTCCATCACCAACACTACGACAGTGAATAGGGAAACGACTACTAATTGATCTTGGCTTCATTTTCACTCTTACTTTTATTGATGCAGACAGGAGGAACACAAATAAATTGGAATGAAATAATGACGCAGCCTTATGAATTTGCAGTAGAATGCCTGCAAATAAACTATTATGGCGCAAAAAGAATGATTGAAACATTTATTCCCCTCCTACAGTTATCTGATTCGCCAAGGATTGTAAATGTTTCCTCCGGCATTGGGAAGTTGAAGGTATATGGAACATAATTCTTCTTGAGATATAGAAATTTCAATCTGTTAAGTAATTTTATGGAGCTTGTTACTCGTTTTCAGTGAAATTTAGGAAGAGTTCAATTTAAAGCAGCAGATAAATTGACCTAAAATAGGGTAAAAGAAAAATTGAGTTTTCTAGTGGCTTCAATTAATTCAATTATTCAAACTCCACTCTAGAGCTGACTTGTTTAATCAAATCTACTTTTTTTGCCTTTGAATTGATCTTGTAGCTGATTAATAGATGCATTACTTGGTCAGCCTGTCTCATTCGTAAACAGTATATAGAAAGGTGTTACATCTATTGTCAGCGAACTATGGTTCCATTTACTAATCGGCTGCATGGTTTACGATGCCGATATTTGGGGTTATTGCACTAAGGCACAATTACAAGATGAAATTGGCAAGACAATTTCTTCTGAAAATTACTCGCCTTTAATCGTTTATGGAAGTGACTATGCCAACAGTTGAATTTTTTTCTTGACAAAATATGTTGTTTCAGAATATGTCGAATGAATGGGCTAAAGGAATATTAAGTGATGCTGAAAGCCTTACAGAAGAGAAAGTGGATGAGGTACTGAATGAGTTTCTAAAAGACTTCAAAGAGGGTTCCTTACAAGCCAAAAGTTGGCCTTCTTTTGGATCAGCATATACAGTCTCAAAAGCAGCCATGAACGCTTACACGAGGATTCTAGCAAAGAAGTACCCTACTTTCTGCATCAATTGTGTCTGTCCTGGCTATGTCAAAACAGATATAAACTTCAATACTGGTATACTATCTGTAGAAGAAGGCGCGGCAAGTCCGGTGAGGCTAGCTCTGCTGCCTGATGGGGGGCCTTCTGGGATGTTCTTTGTTCGGAATGAAGTATCTACATTTGAAGGAAATTGAGCCATTATAATTCTGTAAGAGGAAGATAAAGCTATATGTCTGAGTCTACCAATGCATATAATGTAATGTACTTCACATATGTTTATAATTCGAACAGCTAAACAGTGATNCTTTAAATGACTAACATTAACTTACACCAAGTTAATTATAATAGGATTTTACTAATTACAAGATTAATTATAAATCCTATATTTGACCCACTAGTTACACTAGTCAAGACCTAACATGTGATATACACTTTTAGCCTACCCATTTCTTATTTCATATTTTAGGTTGAAATTACATCTAAATAAAAGAAATCCTATCTCTCGTAGCGTGAACCCACATAGTAGAACTTCAAAGAAAGTCCGAATTTAATTTTTTAAGCCTTAACCCTAGATTCTCGTTTTTGATATNTTAGCCTACCCATTTCTTATGTCATATTTTAGGTTGAAATTACATCTAAATAAAAGAAATCCTATCTCTCGTAGCGTGAACCCACATAGTAGAACTTCAAAGAAAGTCCGAATTTAATTTTTTAAGCCTTAACCCTAGATTCTCGTTTTTGATATTTTTGGAGAAAAATGCGATCTTTAGTGTGGTTGCGTAGCTCTCGTTGCGTAGAGCTACTTTAATTCTTGGCTGGAAGCGATTAAACTATTTAATCTTCGTAGATCTAAGAAAGAATGAAGGAGAAAAAAAATAAAAAAACTCATTTTTCTCTCTCTCACTCCCTCGGCAGGCTACCGGAGAAGAAAACAAAGTGGAAGATATCTTCCACTTTATAAAGTTTAAATGTGTGGCCCACATCGCGCCACACGTCTTCTTTTTAACAGGTCCAATTTTATTTTGAGTCAATTAAATCTCGTCTCGTATTAAGTTTAGTATATTTTTATTGAACTAACTTTAAATTATTTTTCGGATCCTGCGAATAAAATCTGATCACAATTATTTTAGTCGCGTGACACCCGATTGCTTTGTAACACGTGAAAAATTCAATTGTCTCAGAATTTTACAAAAAATTATTGTGTAGCTAGATTTCGCAAGACGAATCCAACGGTGAGGTCCGTTTCGTCATTTAAATTATATAAAAATTCACGTTGTTGACCTGTGTTTTAACAATTAATTACTATTTTGCCACTTTAATTAGGATTTTAATAATAAAAAAAAAATTCTAGGATTTTACAGTGGGCTTGGTCCGTATGTTTGAGGTGGGTCTAGTCTGTAATTTTGAATTGGGCCTCTGATCTGGATTTGCTATGGGCCGGGCCCATCAAAAATAATTATTTTTATTTAGAAAGATTTGAGCTATTCTCTATATGCTGTTGTTTCTAGTTCCTCTTATTCAATAATGGATGTGTATGCGAGAGAGAGAGAAAGAAGAGAAAAAAAGGGGGGGGGTGTGAACTCCTCCCATGAATTATCTAATGATTTGTATCTTGCTTGGTTTTTTTGGGACCCTGCAGGTGAATAATGCTGGGATTTTTGGAGCTATAACAGATGGTGATGGTATAAAAGCTGCAGTGACCGGTGTTAGTAGGGTGAGTTTTATGTGTGTATAAATAGCTATATCTAACAATTCCTTTGCTGCAAGCTAATGTGGAAGATGAATTTATAATGCAACCGCAATAATTAACTTGTTCTGGCAACAAAATTTAGAATGTGATTTGATTGAAGCACTTGGTCTTCCTTATGACTTGCTTTGAGATTACTGTTTTGATACTTTATAGATAAGCAAAGCGATCCATCTCACAAATCCTAGTTATTTTCTTCTCCTTTTTGCATTTGTTGGTCAGAGTCGTAAGTCTCATTTTAAATGGGAAAAAATCCCGTGGAGCATTAATGCAATGTTCTCCAGTTTTCTTCCATATCTTTNTGAACCCACATAGTAGAACTTCAAAGAAAGTCCGAATTTAATTTTTTAAGCCTTAACCCTAGATTCTCGTTTTTGATATTTTTGGAGAAAAATGCGATCTTTAGTGTGGTTGCGTAGCTCTCGTTGCGTAGAGCTACTTTAATTCTTGGCTGGAAGCGATTAAACTATTTAATCTTCGTAGATCTAAGAAAGAATGAAGGAGAAAAAAAATAAAAAAACTCATTTTTCTCTCTCTCACTCCCTCGGCAGGCTACCGGAGAAGAAAACAAAGTGGAAGATATCTTCCACTTTATAAAGTTTAAATGTGTGGCCCACATCGCGCCACACGTCTTCTTTTTAACAGGTCCAATTTTATTTTGAGTCAATTAAATCTCGTCTCGTATTAAGTTTAGTATATTTTTATTGAACTAACTTTAAATTATTTTTCGGATCCTGCGAATAAAATCTGATCACAATTATTTTAGTCGCGTGACACCCGATTGCTTTGTAACACGTGAAAAATTCAATTGTCTCAGAATTTTACAAAAAATTATTGAGTAGCTAGATTTCGCAAGACGAATCCAACGGTGAGGTCCGTTTCGTCATTTAAATTATATAAAAATTCACGTTGTTGACCTGTGTTTTAACAATTAATTACTATTTTGCCCCTTTAATTAGGATTTTAATAATAAAAAAAAAATTCTAGGATTTTACAGTGGGCTTGGTCCGTATGTTTGAGGTGGGTCTAGTCTGTAATTTTGAATTGGGCCTCTGATCTGGATTTGCTATGGGCCGGGCCCATCAAAAATAATTATTTTTATTTAGAAAGATTTGAGCTATTCTCTATATGCTGTTGTTTCTAGTTCCTCTTATTCAATAATGGATGTGTATGCGAGAGAGAGAGAAAGAAGAGAAAAAAAGGGGGGGGGTGTGAACTCCTCCCATGAATTATCTAATGATTTGTATCTTGCTTGGTTTTTTTGGGACCCTGCAGGTGAATAATGCTGGGATTTTTGGAGCTATAACAGATGGTGATGGTATAAAAGCTGCAGTGACCGGTGTTAGTAGGGTGAGTTTTATGTGTGTATAAATAGCTATATCTAACAATTCCTTTGCTGCAAGCTAATGTGGAAGATGAATTTATAATGCAACCGCAATAATTAACTTGTTCTGGCAACAAAATTTAGAATGTGATTTGATTGAAGCACTTGGTCTTCCTTATGACTTGCTTTGAGATTACTGTTTTGATACTTTATAGATAAGCAAAGCGATCCATCTCACAAATCCTAGTTATTTTCTTCTCCTTTTTGCATTTGTTGGTCAGAGTCGTAAGTCTCATTTTAAATGGGAAAAAATCCCGTGGAGCATTAATGCAATGTTCTCCAGTTTTCTTCCATATCTTTACCAAAAAAGATGATTATGAAATAGGGATTAAGCTTCCATTGTAGCTTGCATTGGTTTCATTTCCTTCAAAGTTGTTTCTTAACCCTCCTTTGAGTTTCTTACAGCAGGGTGAGCTAACTTATATATTCTTTGGTTGGCCTTCCAAAATTACTTGATTTTGTTTGGATTCGGCTACATGTAATTGATCTATGTCACTGACTTGACCTCTTTTCTTCTTATTTCTTTTGGTCTTTCTTTCTTCCATCACCAACACTACGACAGTGAATAGGGAAACGACTACTAATTGATCTTGGCTTCATTTTCACTCTTACTTTTATTGATGCAGACAGGAGGAACACAAATAAATTGGAATGAAATAATGACGCAGCCTTATGAATTTGCAGTAGAATGCCTGCAAATAAACTATTATGGCGCAAAAAGAATGATTGAAACATTTATTCCCCTCCTACAGTTATCTGATTCGCCAAGGATTGTAAATGTTTCCTCCGGCATTGGGAAGTTGAAGGTATATGGAACATAATTCTTCTTGAGATATAGAAATTTCAATCTGTTAAGTAATTTTATGGAGCTTGTTACTCGTTTTCAGTGAAATTTAGGAAGAGTTCAATTTAAAGCAGCAGATAAATTGACCTAAAATAGGGTAAAAGAAAAATTGAGTTTTCTAGTGGCTTCAATTAATTCAATTATTCAAACTCCACTCTAGAGCTGACTTGTTTAATCAAATCTACTTTTTTTGCCTTTGAATTGATCTTGTAGCTGATTAATAGATGCATTACTTGGTCAGCCTGTCTCATTCGTAAACAGTATATAGAAAGGTGTTACATCTATTGTCAGCGAACTATGGTTCCATTTACTAATCGGCTGCATGGTTTACGATGCCGATATTTGGGGTTATTGCACTAAGGCACAATTACAAGATGAAATTGGCAAGACAATTTCTTCTGAAAATTACTCGCCTTTAATCGTTTATGGAAGTGACTATGCCAACAGTTGAATTTTTTTCTTGACAAAATATGTTGTTTCAGAATATGTCGAATGAATGGGCTAAAGGAATATTAAGTGATGCTGAAAGCCTTACAGAAGAGAAAGTGGATGAGGTACTGAATGAGTTTCTAAAAGACTTCAAAGAGGGTTCCTTACAAGCCAAAAGTTGGCCTTCTTTTGGATCAGCATATACAGTCTCAAAAGCAGCCATGAACGCTTACACGAGGATTCTAGCAAAGAAGTACCCTACTTTCTGCATCAATTGTGTCTGTCCTGGCTATGTCAAAACAGATATAAACTTCAATACTGGTATACTATCTGTAGAAGAAGGCGCGGCAAGTCCGGTGAGGCTAGCTCTGCTGCCTGATGGGGGGCCTTCTGGGATGTTCTTTGTTCGGAATGAAGTATCTACATTTGAAGGAAATTGAGCCATTATAATTCTGTAAGAGGAAGATAAAGCTATATGTCTGAGTCTACCAATGCATATAATGTAATGTACTTCACATATGTTTATAATTCGAACAGCTAAACAGTGATGTATGTGTATAACTACATTGCTCATGACTTTGAATATCATGTTTGAGGTTTGTGCTCTCAAATCTTAATAAAAACTCACACTTGCAGGCAGGAACACATCGAAATCTTTTGATAGACCACAATACTGGATTTGGGTCTAGGCTTGTGCCAACTATTTTTTCGGTTCAACGGCCGATTATCGTGTTTTGAGTTGGATTAGAACATTGTGGTCTTAGGGAGATGGACGGATTAATGGGTGTGATTGAGACGCAAATTTGGTAGGTACTACTAAACCATAGTTTGGATTGAGAAACGAGTCAAAAATTAAAAAAAAAAAAAAATTTCGTAAAAACCACCGTTAATGATTAACTAATATTGGGCAAACAAAGACAAAATAGGAGCCTCAGGGAAAAATTTTCGAATTTTTAGAAATCTCGGGATGATTTTATAATTTTCTCACCCCTTGCCCTTTTCCTCGAACCAATTCCAGTGTTGAGAGTTCTGAACTCCGAGATTAAGTCTACACAAAGGCAATGGACAATGGACGCTGACGGAGCAGATCGGAGTTCTAGAAGTTTCTTCGTGGCAGTTCACGTCGGCGCTGGGTTTCACTCGCCGTTGAACGAGAGAGCTCTCAGTTCCACCATGAATCGAGCCTGCCTCGCCGCCGCCTCTGTTCTCCAAAAGGCCTGGATCGAGACAATGGCCATTGTGGATGTGAAATGTTTTATTGAAGCATTAGCTGAAAAATGAGTTAATGGAAGGTAGTTATTGTTCGTTTGAGCTTGTACTTGAAAAATACACTTTCTTTGATGATTGTGTTTATTTGTTTGATTTAGGGTNCGATGATTATGAAATAGGGATTAAGCTTCCATTTTAGCTTGCATTGGTTTCATTTCCTTCAAAGTTGTTTGTTAACCCTCCTTTGAGTTTCTTACAGCAGGGTGAGCTAACTTATATATTCTTTGGTTGGCCTTCCAAAATTACTTGATTTTGTTTGGATTCGGCTACATGTAATTGATCTATGTCACTGACTTGACCTCTTTTCTTCTTATTTCTTTTGGTCTTTCTGTCTTTCTTTCTTTCTTCCATCACCAACACTACGACAGTGAATAGGGAAACGACTACTAATTGATCTTGGCTTCATTTTCACTCTTACTTTTATTGATGCAGACAGGAGGAACACAAATAAATTGGAATGAAATAATGACGCAGCCTTATGAATTTGCAGTAGAATGCCTGCAAATAAACTATTATGGCGCAAAAAGAATGATTGAAACATTTATTCCCCTCCTACAGTTATCTGATTCGCCAAGGATTGTAAATGTTTCCTCCGGCATTGGGAAGTTGAAGGTATATGGAACATAATTCTTCTTGAGATATAGAAATTTCAATCTGTTAAGTAATTTTATGGAGCTTGTTACTCGTTTTCAGTGAAATTTAGGAAGAGTTCAATTTAAAGCAGCAGATAAATTGACCTAAAATAGGGTAAAAGAAAAATTGAGTTTTCTAGTGGCTTCAATTAATTCAATTATTCAAACTCCACTCTAGAGCTGACTTGTTTAATCAAATCTACTTTTTTTGCCTTTGAATTGATCTTGTAGCTGATTAATAGATGCATTACTTGGTCAGCCTGTCTCATTCGTAAACAGTATATAGAAAGGTGTTACATCTATTGTCAGCGAACTATGGTTCCATTTACTAATCGGCTGCATGGTTTACGATGCCGATATTTGGGGTTATTGCACTAAGGCACAATTACAAGATGAAATTGGCAAGACAATTTCTTCTGAAAATTACTCGCCTTTAATCGTTTATGGAAGTGACTATGCCAACAGTTGAATTTTTTTCTTGACAAAATATGTTGTTTCAGAATATGTCGAATGAATGGGCTAAAGGAATATTAAGTGATGCTGAAAGCCTTACAGAAGAGAAAGTGGATGAGGTACTGAATGAGTTTCTAAAAGACTTCAAAGAGGGTTCCTTACAAGCCAAAAGTTGGCCTTCTTTTGGATCAGCATATACAGTCTCAAAAGCAGCCATGAACGCTTACACGAGGATTCTAGCAAAGAAGTACCCTACTTTCTGCATCAATTGTGTCTGTCCTGGCTATGTCAAAACAGATATAAACTTCAATACTGGTATACTATCTGTAGAAGAAGGCGCGGCAAGTCCGGTGAGGCTAGCTCTGCTGCCTGATGGGGGGCCTTCTGGGATGTTCTTTGTTCGGAATGAAGTATCTACATTTGAAGGAAATTGAGCCATTATAATTCTGTAAGAGGAAGATAAAGCTATATGTCTGAGTCTACCAATGCATATAATGTAATGTACTTCACATATGTTTATAATTCGAACAGCTAAACAGTGATGTATGTGTATAACTACATTGCTCATGACTTTGAATATCATGTTTGAGGTTTGTGCTCTCAAATCTTAATAAAAACTCACACTTGCAGGCAGGAACACATCGAAATCTTTTGATAGACCACAATACTGGATTTGGGTCTAGGCTTGTGCCAACTATTTTTTCGGTTCAACGGCCGATTATCGTGTTTTGAGTTGGATTAGAACATTGTGGTCTTAGGGAGATGGACGGATTAATGGGTGTGATTGAGACGCAAATTTGGTAGGTACTACTAAACCATAGTTTGGATTGAGAAACGAGTCAAAAATTAAAAAAAAAAAAAAATTTCGTAAAAACCACCGTTAATGATTAACTAATATTGGGCAAACAAAGACAAAATAGGAGCCTCAGGGAAAAATTTTCGAATTTTTAGAAATCTCGGGATGATTTTATAATTTTCTCACCCCTTGCCCTTTTCCTCGAACCAATTCCAGTGTTGAGAGTTCTGAACTCCGAGATTAAGTCTACACAAAGGCAATGGACAATGGACGCTGACGGAGCAGATCGGAGTTCTAGAAGTTTCTTCGTGGCAGTTCACGTCGGCGCTGGGTTTCACTCGCCGTTGAACGAGAGAGCTCTCAGTTCCACCATGAATCGAGCCTGCCTCGCCGCCGCCTCTGTTCTCCAAAAGGCCTGGATCGAGACAATGGCCATTGTGGATGTGAAATGTTTTATTGAAGCATTAGCTGAAAAATGAGTTAATGGAAGGTAGTTATTGTTCGTTTGAGCTTGTACTTGAAAAATACACTTTCTTTGATGATTGTGTTTATTTGTTTGATTTAGGGTGCCGGTGGATGTATAGATGCTGTTTCGGCTGCAATCCAAGTATTAGAGGTATGTCACTATTCTGTATCCCCAAATGAGGCTGTAGTTGTGTTCAAATGTGGGAGGTGTGTCCTTTGGTGCAGTGCATAGAGTATTTGAGGGGCCTAAATTCTTGTCACTCTTGAAGCCTGGTTATTCTTGGGAGGATCGTAAATAAAGAGGCTAAGGGAAGTTTTACAGGTTTTTATCATTTGTTAGTTTGCCATTGAGTTCAACTGTGGTTGCTTGGAAGCAAAATTGTGTTTGTTTGACAACTTGTAGAAACTTGGAGAAGACTACCTACATTGCAAGTAGTTTNGTTCTGTCATTCTTTCTTTCTTCCATCACCAACACTACGACAGTGAATAGGGAAACGACTACTAATTGATCTTGGCTTCATTTTCACTCTTACTTTTATTGATGCNCAAAGTAATTGATGAAGGGGAAGGGAAAAAAGAAGAAGAAAGAAGTTGCACAAGAAGAAATGAAGCAATTATTCTTGCAATTCCACCCTGCTTCTTAGATATCATTTTTCTAGATTCATCAGTGATTGCAAATTTGCTGGGATTGGATTTTGCCACCGAATCTAGTTCTGAATCTTTTTTGGAATTAGATGATCTTCAAGGTCGTCCTTCACTTTCTGTTCTGTGTCGTCCATAAGTGTATATTAGAGAAGAATTTTCACTTTGTTATGAGGTGATCTTGAGGATTCAAAACTGCCGCTTTATAAATGTTGCAATACTAGTTAGGATCTTATATATTCGCAATATATTGGCGATTCACTCCAGTATTAAGCAGTTGTGTGTGGGTGAATGTAGAGATAAATGGTAACTGAAGCTTAAATAGAGATTGCATTCAAAAGGCGCAACTTGATCCCGTTTCAATGCTAATGGCAGCTAAGGAATAGCGAGTTGGTACGACGCTAAAAAAAATAAGGACTGAGGTGTTATTATCAAAGTATTAAAGTAGGAGGAATACTTAGAGTTACTAAACCAATGATTTATAACTGAAACAACAAACCGAAAGACATGTCGATCTTTTCTATTTGGGTGGAGATGGGGAAGGAGTGTGGATGAGATATATNAGTTACTAAACCAATGATTTATAACTGAAACAACAAACTGAAACACATGTCGATCTTTTCTATTTGGGTGGAGATGGGGAAGGAGTGTGGATGAGATATATGAAGAACTCAAAGTGTTATAGTCTAATAATTCCTCTGTACAAGCTGAAAAACTACGACAATGGACATTGAGAAAACATAGCTAACATTTTGCAGTGTGGGTTAAATTTGATATAGATAGATATATTATCTCCCGTGGGGGACTTTAAATTGTGAAAGAATTTGAGAAAAAACTTATGGATGTGTTCTTTACTCAATTATTTTATTATACTGTTGGATAAGATATCAAAGATGGTAGGTGTAAGCCCCTTATCAAATATGTAAAATCCAGAAAAATTTAAAATTTTGTTGCGAATGACAAAATGATAATTAACAGTTACGGTACTCGTGGAAAACCTGAATTTTTCTAGAACTCGGATGATGAAACGGACTATACCGTTGAGTTCCTCTCGCGAAATCTAGTTACCCAGTCAATTCTTGTTGAATTTCGAGACAGTTGAATTTTTTGTGTTTTACGACGAGTGACTAAAATAAACGTGATCGGGATTTAATTGTGAAACGTGAAAAATAATTTAAAGTTAGTTCAATTAAAATATGTTGTACATAACGCGGGACGAGATTTAACTGATTCAGGATAAAATCGAATCAGGAAAAGACGGGACATGTGACTTAATGAGAGCCAAGTATTTGGGATTATAAATAAGGGAGAAAAATCAGATTTTTCTCCCCATTACTCAGCCCATTCCGAGAGAGAGTGAGAGATTTAAGGGTTTTCTTCCATCTTCTTCTTGTGATTTAGTGTCAACTGCTCGTCGAATCATTTCGGTCCAAAAACAAAAGTTGTTCTACACGACGAGAGTTACGTCTACGTACAAAAAATCGCGGATTTCGCCGAAGTCTCAAAACGGGATTTTTGAAATTCAAGGTTTAAAGCTTTGAGTTGGGTTTCTTGGAGCTTCCTCTACGTGTATTACGTTTCAAAGAGGTAGAGTTTCTCCATAGCTAGATTTATTTTCAACCTAGGGTTTGCGTATGAAATGGGTAGCATGATTAGAGATGCAATCTCTTATTTAATATGCTCATAGTGTAACTAGAGTATGAGAAATGATATAAGAATGTGTAAAATCAATTCTATCATGAATTGGGTTTGTTGAAATTACTTGTATGTGATTTCATGAGAAATATGTTGATTGAATATGTTATGTGTTTACATGATTTTGTTCCTTTTGATTGGATTAACAACTTTCCTTTTTTTCCTTGCATTTTTAAATAATGGGAAATACAGGGAAGCAGAAGTTAATGTATCTCTGAGTTATCTCTAAGACTATTGCTTTCATCTTATCTTAATTTTTTAACTTGTGAATTTCCAGACATAGAGAGAGAGAGAGAGAGAGAGAGAGAGAGAGTTCCTAGATGAGAATGACCAACAATCCGTGTAATTCCATGTTGCAAGTGCAGTCTTTTGAGTTTATTGATGATGAACTTGGTTTTTCCTAAGCTTTTCTTGTTTCTTACAGGGTTGGACAGTGTACTTCATAGCTTTCTTTTTACAAATAATTAGGTGGATTACCTTTTAATTATTGTGGAACTGATGTCTAGATAAAATGGATTATTACTACATCTTCTCTTAAGCTATTTAGTTTATATTTTCATTATTGATAAAAAGATATTATATGTTTTACTAGTAGGGGGGAAACATTGGTGTGGCATTAAGCCTATGGTTGGCCTGATATGCTGATTTTGTTTTATCCATGCAGCCTTGCTACATATATGACAGATGAAGAAATCCAAATGGGCATTTTGTATCCATCTACTAATAGGTAACATTTTCAGCTACCTGGAAATGTTGTTTTTGTTGCGATATCATTGGAGTCCTCTAAGACTGAAATTGATATAGCCTGCAGTATTTTTAATTTCTAGTTGGTGATGTGCACATCCCATTATTTCAAGCGTTCATTTCAATCATATGATAGTAGCCTAATAACCTGTCTCAGCATGGTGGTTGGGTACAAAGTTCAGAAGTGTGCATCTCAACACGAGTTTCCCAATAAATTTGTCTCATATCCTTAAATTTTATGTGCGAATTTCCAAAATATTACTCCTGTGTGTCCTTGTACGACTTCATGTCCACAAAGGCTAAAGGCCTGGATCTGTTCATGAATTGCTCAGCGTGTGTAAGATGGAGAAATATTCAATTTATTTACTCGTAACTATACTTATTTACCGTGTGTGTATTAGATGTGCAGTTTATTGTAATTAGGGCATACCTATCATGTAGTAAGTCTATTTTTGATCTCTCTTAATCTAGAATAGCTAGAACTCGTTACCCAGTATCTGCTTTTATGGGCTCGTCAAACTGTTATATGCCCTAACCAGGTTTACTTGAAACAGTTGAGGATACATTGACAGTTTCGCTGCTTGATTTATGGATGCTGAAAGAGATTCATCATTTTAGGGACATCTGATAAAAGTGTCATTTGTTAATGGTATCGCCTAACCTGAATTGATCTTATTGTGTATGGTTGCAGTATTAGAGATATCGCAGCAGAGGTTAGAGCTGCTGTAATACGAACAGCTGTTGCTGAAGAACTGGCAGAAGGGCATGGTGATGTGGGGCAAGGGAGCTTGCACAAATGTCAAAAGTATGAACCAATTTCAACCTTACTTCCCAAGAAAAATGCAAAATGACCATGGAATACATCTTGGATGAAAAATACTATGTTTTAGGGTAAAATGATGAAAATAATGTTACACCTAATCTTAAAACACAACAATTATTACAAAGGGAAAGCTATAGACTCAATTCAAAAAGGTAAAATGCATATTCTGAAATTCTAATAATGTATGCTGTCTATTGCTTTCTTTCTTTGGATGCAGGAAGAGACTGTGCAATATGTCATGCACAACATGTGGTATCCTGTTTACAGCTCTCTTCTTAATGAGAAATAAAAGCTCCTCTCATATCCTTCTACCTGGAGGTTATTCTTCTGCAGATGGCATTCCAAATTTCTGCAGCCAGTTGTAGATTAACATTTTTTATTTTTTTTACCCGTCTTAACTAATTTTTAAGCATCGAAATAGTCTAGGGCAAAGGGCAAAGTTGCTGAACTTGAAACAAGAGGGAATATAACAAAATGAGGCCCTTCCCATTATGAATTTTGTTAAGCCCTTTTCGCCTAAACTATCCTTACCTATGTATGCTCGGATATATATATCGGGCAATATGGTTACACATTATCTGTTTTGCTTACGCGCCCCCAAAAAAAAAAAAACACACGCGAGCACACACACACGCGCTCACATAAATAAATAGAGAACAGTTGATGTAATTTTTGGGTTTGAATCATAGGCCTGAAGCTATCTTTCTGAATTGGGAAGGTATAACATATGTTTCTTTGACTATGCGTCTATGAGTGATTTCGTATGTTTGTCTTACTGTTGCAAGCTGAGTCCATTGGTGCTGGACACGGGCTTATAGTTCGTCTGTATTAGGTAAGTTGACAAGTTGGTGAGATTGGGAACTTGAGCTCAAAATGATCATGTTNGAATTATCCCTGATACAATTGTCAAATACAAATATATCCTTTGTTTGTTAGTTAGGTTGGTTCATGTGCGCGCAAACTTGCATGGGTCGAAACAGCAAGAAACTATGACCAATAGTGTAAAAATGTATCTTAAACAAGTTTTTCAATGGTAGTTTGGAAAATTATTTGGGACAAGCTGACGACTTACAGGAAGATTCTGGACTTTTTTTTTTTTATATAGGGAAATACTACGTTTATTACCATGTCAAAAGGGAAAAAAAATTAAGAAATAATAATTTTGTCTAAAACGTGAAAAAAAAAATTCAAAAAATTTATCTAAAAAATGATAAGTTTTACCTAAAAAAAATGGCAAGTAAACTCAAAATGAGTGTGTTGTATTAAAAATTGATAAATTATATTCCAAAAATAACATAAATACTCAAAAATAAATAATAATAATAAGTGGTACATGATCCACAAATTTTTCTGATATTGTAGTCAGCCTTTCTTTTTTGTTTTTTTTAACAAATTGTCTCTTTCACATGTTCGAAGAATATTCAATTAGGAGTCTAGGTGTAATTCTCTAATCAAAATATATTTAAATATTAGGTTATAAAATTTAAAATATTTTATATTTTCTCTTTGATTGAAATATTTTTTGTGTAAGTATAATATTTTAAACTTGAGGGGTATATATATTATACATTTATAAATTTTAGAGGATTTAGATGTAATTTATTAAAGGTGTACTAACAAATGTTGTCTTAATGTTACGCGTTACAAACTTAAGAGGATCTGTGTATAATATTTTAAAAATTAGGGAATATGAGTAATTAAGTGATAAATCTTAAGGAATTTGAGTGTAATTCTCCTTAAATATTATATTCTCTATTTTAATTAGTAATTTTTACAAATTCACACTAAATCTATATAATAAAACAGGAGTGTGTTTGAATTTTATTTTAGTCATATATTTTCTCTTAAAACCATCACTGATCACTTATCTCACCCATCATCCCTTTGTCAGACTCAAACGTCAAATCACATCACTCATTTTTATCACATATTTAATTATTTATATATTTTCTCCATAAAAATATCACACAACTCATTTTTATTATATATTTAATTAATTGATATTTAATTAATTTGTAGTTAATATATTTTGAAAAAAAATTAATATAATCGAATTGATTTTTTTAAACGCTCGAATTTTATATATTATTGTGTCTTTATACACAGGTTATGACTAGTATACTCTCTATTCTAACTAAACTCTCTATTCTAACTAAATACTTGGGACAATTTTGACTAAGCTCTCCATATTTGAATAACTATTTGAATAAAATGGGAAATAAAAAGTTGGATAAAGAGGGTACATGATCGACAAATTTTTCTGAAATCGTAGTCAAACTCCTTTTTAGTTTTTCACAAAAATGTCTCTTTCTATGTTGGAAGAATATTCAATTGGAGAGTCTGAGTCTAACTCTCCTTTTTTTTTATTCGGTAAGTCCGTCCAAGCCTCTCGTTCATCGGTTGGAGTGAATAATCATAGGCCACCATTAGTTGCCCCTCACGAGTAATCACATCTTATCTAACAATGGCGGAAGCAATCACCAGTATTGTAGGAAAGAAGTAATGGACCTCTTCCACANATAAAATAATACACGTGTAATTGATCTTTCTCAAATCATGTAATGACAATTTCAATTGGTAGTTTTAATAGTAACATGGACGAGCTGTAAGTTCAGACGTCATGAATTTAAATTTTGGCAATCTATTAAGATCTGATTTTGAGAGATTTAATCCTCATGAAATATCCTAATGCCGACATAAATAACCTGTCTCATATAATTTATCACATAATGTTATGATTTAATAATAAATTTATAATTGAGTAAGATAAATCCCACTTATAGTTGTTTTCATACATGAATAAGGTAATTACTAAATTAAGTAGGGCTCATTTTAATAATTTTGACTAAGCTCTCCATATTTGAATAACTATTTGAATAAAATGGGAAATAAAAAGTTGGATAAAGAAGGTACATGATCGACAAATTTTTCTGAAATCGTAGTCAAACCCCTTTTTAGTTTTTCACAAAAATGTCTCTTTCTATGTTGGAAGAATATTCAATTGGAGAGTCTGAGTCTAACTCTCCTCTTTTTTTTATTCGGTAAGTCCGTCCAAGCCTCTCGTTCATCGGTTGGAGTGAATAATCATAGGCCACCATTAGTTGCCCCTCACGAGTAATCACATCTTATCTAACAATGGCGGAAGCAATCACCAGTATTGTAGGAAAGAGGTAATGGACCTCTTCCACAGAATTTGCACTTCCAACCCACTTTCTTAATCTCAGATCCAATATCAACCCCTACTCTTTTCTCTCCTTTTTTTGCAGGATTGCAGTTGTTACTGGGGCAAACAAAGGGATAGGATTTGAAATTTGTAGGCAGTTAGCTTCTCATGGAGTCTTGGTGATATTGACCGCTAGAGATGAGAAGAGAGGAAGTGAAGCTTGTGAAAAAATCAAAGACTGTGGTCTCTCTGATAATGTGGTTTTTCATCAACTTGATGTGACGGATCCAAAAAGTATAGTTGCCCTTGCTGATTTCGTCAAGAATCAATATGGAAGGCTTGATATCCTGGTATGATACAAAACCCAGTTCTTAATGTTTTTGCATCTCAGTTCATCTACTTCAGAACCCTAGAATGGTAGTTTAGTCTGTTGATGGATTAACCAGTTTGGTAATTTCTGTTTTTTTATAGAGAACCCAATTCTTTTTATCACAAAAATTAGTGAGAACCCAATTCTTAATTTTTTTTTTCCTTCTCAGTCCATCTGTACCCAATTCTTATTTTTTTTCCTACCCTATAATTGTAGTTCACTATATTTGTCTTATCTGTAGATTTTATTGGATAAACCAGTTTGATGATTTCTGATTTGATTAGAGAACCCAATTCTTAATTTTTTTTTTCCTTCTCAGTTCATCTTCTACTACAGAACCCCAGAATGATAGTTCATTATCTATGTACAGTTTAATGAACTCTGATTTTATGGAAACCCAATTCTTAATCTTTTTCTTTCTCAGTTCATCTGCTACTACAGAACCCTAGAGGCTAGAACGATAGTTCAATATCCAAGTCTTATCTGTAGCTTTTATTGGATTAACCAATTTGATGATTTCTGATTTTAGTAGAGAAGTCAGTTTGATGAACTTTGATTCTACCCACCTATCCATTTTTTACTTGTTTGATTTTTGATTTCATTATCATAGCTAAAATTGAAGATCTACTATTTTGATGAAATTTATAATGAAGGCTGACTCAACTGCTATTTTGATTTTGTTGTGAAATGAGACTGAATAAGTCGAGACTTGGGAGTTTTTGTCTATGCTGGTTGTATGGTGACGAGCCCCTTCTATTTATACAACTGACTTAAGATCTAGAAATCTATGCTGTTCTAGTTTCAGCTTGAAGTCATGAATAACTTTGTTTGCTAGATCCATAAACTTGCTTTAAACCCACTTTAAGTTCTCTTACCCTAGGATAGGATCACGCTGTCATGAATTTCCTTCCAAACATAGTGTCACCGCCACAACCAACTGTGGAACAATAGAGAAGTATTGCATGATGCTGAAAATTGGTGTCCTCTACTTATGAATATTATATGAAAAAGCAAGTTTAAATGCTGATGTTCAAGTTCCATATGAAAAGTAAATTTAGCAACAGAAGGAAGAGGGAAGTCTATAAACCCTCGAGTGGCTCCTGTTCTTGGGCCATGTTTTAGATATACAGTTTGGACGGGATGATGGAGTTTAATTAAGGGTTTGAAGATAGGCTTTTTAGTGCAATTCAATAAACCTGAATTAATCAATATTGATGATGCACAAAACGTATTTATGCACCACCTGTCAAGTATTAAATGCAGTAATAAATGATGAGAGTCAACACAAGCAAAATACAGTTTAAGTGGTTTGATCAGAGTGACCTATTCTACTGTGAAGGATTAGGATAGCCAGAATATTTTATTGTTCAACAGATATAGAGGGCTCAGATGTGAGTGATATGTGGGAGATACCCCCTTGTGTAGGTGGGAATTACAATTTATAGGCATCTCCTAACAAATTGAGGCGTCTTTCTCGTAGTAGATGAGGTAGTTCGGTGGTGGTAGCACCCTTCTCNCAGAATATTTTATTGTTCAACAGATATAGAGTGCTTAGATGTGAGTGATATGTGGGAGATACCCCCTTGTGTAGGTGGGACTTACAATTTATAGGTATCTCCTAACAGATTGAGGCGTCTTTCTCGTAGTAGATGAGGTAGTTCGGTGGTGGTAGCACCCTTCTCGTAACCGGTGAAACAATTTTGTGAAGGTGGTGATGTGTGCATCCGAAGGAGATCTCTTCGCATGTTAGTTATGGACCGAGTCTTTCATGATTGCGTGGCTGACCTAATACTCTCAAGATGGCGCGGTTGACCTGACCTAACTTCCTTCATGCAACGGTGGGCTTAGCCCATATGTTTGACATGGGCCTGGTCTATAATTTNCGAAGGAGATCTCTTCGCATGTTAGTTATGGACCGAGTCTTTCATGATTGCGTGGCTGACCTAATACTCTCAAGATGGCGTGGTTGACCTGACCTAACTTCCTTCATGCAACGGTGGGCTTAGCCCATATGTTTGACATGGGCCTGGTCTATAATTTCAAATTGGGCTTCTGAGTTGGGTCTGGTTTAGGTTGGGGCCGGGGCCGTCAAAAATAATTACTTTTATTTAGAAAGATTCGAGCTGTTCTCTAGATGCTGCTGTTTCTAGTTCCTCTTATTCAATAATGGATGTGTATGTGAGAGAGAGAAAGAAGAGAAAAAAAAGGGGGGGGGCGTGAATTCCTCCCTAAAATTATCTAATGATTTGTATCTTGCATGTTTTTTTTTGGGACCGTGCAGGNAAGCTGTTCTCTAGATGCTGCTGTTTCTAGTTCCTCTTATATTCAATAATGGATGTGTATGTGAGAGAGAGAGAGAAGAGAAAAAAAAAAGGGGGGGGGGCGTGAATTCCTCCCTAAAATTATCTAATGATTTGTATCTTGCATGTTTTTTTTTGGGACCGTGCAGGTGAATAATGCTGGGATTCTTGGAGCTAAAGTAGATGGTGATGGTATAAAAGCTGCAGTGACCGGTGTTAGTGGGGTGAGTTTTTTGTGTGTATAAATAGCTATATCTAACAATTCCTTTGCTGCAAACTAATGTGGAAGATGAACTTTTAATGCAACCGCAATAATTAACTTTTTCTGGCAACAAAATTTAGAATGTGATTTGATTGAAGCACTTGGTCTTCCTTATGACTTGCTTTGAGATTACTGTTTAGATACTTTATAGATAAGCAAAGCAATCCATCTCACAAATCCTAGTTATTTTCTTCTCCTTTATGCATTTGTTGGTCAGAGGCGTAAGTCTCATTTAAAAGGGAAAAAATCCCGTGGAGCATTAATGCAATGTTCTCCAGTTTTCTTCCATATCTTTACCAAAAAGATGATCATGAAATAGGCATTAAGCTTCCATTTTAGCTTGCATTGGTTTTTTTGCCTTCAAAGTTGTTTCTCGACCCTCCTTCGAGTTTCTTACAGCAGGGTGAGCCAACTTATATATTCTTTGGTTGGCCTTTCAAAATTACTTGATTTTGTTTGGATTCGGCTGCATGTAATTGATCTATATCACTGACTTGACCTCTTTTCTTCTTATTTCTTTTGGTCCTTCTGTCATTCTTTCTTTCTTCCATCACCAACACTACGCCTTTTTGTAAAATTTTCCTTTTTTTATTTAGAACAGTGAATAGGGAAACGACTACTAATTGATCTTGGCTTCATTTTCACTCTTACTTTTATTGATGCAGACAGAAGGAGCACAAATAAATTGGAATGAAATAATGACTCAGCCTTATGAATTTGCAGTAGAAGGCCTGCAAATAAACTATTATGGTGCAAAAAGAATGACTGAAACATTTATTCCCCTCCTACAGTTATCTGACTCGCCAAGGATTGTAAATGTTTCCTCCAGCAGGGGACAGTTGACGGTATGGAACATAATTCTTCTTCAGATATAGAAATTCCAATCTGTTAGTGAAGTAATTTTATGGAGCTTTTTACTTGTTTTTGGTGAAGGAAGAGCTCAATTTAAAGCAGATAAATTGACCTAAAATAGGGTAAAAGTAAAACTAAGTATTCTAGTGACTTCAATTAATTCAAACTCAATTCTAGAGCTGACTTGTTTAATCAAAGCTCTGTGATTTTCCATATCTACTTTTTTGGCCTTTGAATTGATCCTGTAGCTGACTAATAGATGCATTACCTGTTCGGCCCATATCATTTGTAGACAGTACATAGAAAGGTTTTACGTCTATTGTCGGCGAATTATGGTTCCATTTACTAATAGGCAGCATGGTTTACGATGCTGATATTTGTGGTTACTGGTTATGGAGCTGAGGTGCAATACAAGATGAAATTGGCAAGACAATTTCTTCCGAAAATTACTCGCCTTTAATTGTTTATGGAAGTGACTATGCCAACAGTTGAAGTTTTTTTCTTGACAAAATATGTTGTTTCAGAATATGCCGAATAGATGGGCTAAAGGAATATTAAGTGATGCTGAAAGCCTTACAGAAGAGAAAGTGGATGAGGTACTGAATGAGTTTCTAAAAGACTTTAAAGAGGGTTCCTTACAAGCCAAAAGTTGGCCTTCTTTTGCATCAGCATATACAGTCTCAAAAGCAGTCATGAACGCTTACACGAGGATTCTAGCGAAGAAGTACCCTACTTTCTGCATCAATTGTGTCTGTCCTGGCTACGTCAAAACAGATATAAACTTCAATACTGGTAGATTTTCTGTAGAAGAGGGCGCTGAAAGTCCAGTGAGGCTGGCTCTGCTGCCTGATGGAGGGCCTTCTGGCATGTTCTTTTTTCGGAACGAAGTATCTACCTTTGAAGGAAATTGAGCCATTATAATTCTGCAAGAGGAAGATAAAGCTATGTGTCTTAGACTACCACTGCATATAATGTAATGTACTTCACATATGTTTATAATTCGAACAGCTAAACAGTGATGTATGTGTATAACTACATTGCTCATGACTTTGAATATCATGTTTGAGGTTTGTGCTCTCAAATCTTAATAAAAACTCACACTTGCAGGCAGGAACACATCGAAATCTTTTGATAGACCACAATACTGGATTTGGGTCTAGGCTTGTGCCAACTATTTTTTCGGTTCAACGGCCGATTATCGTGTTTTGAGTTGGATTAGAACATTGTGGTCTTAGGGAGATGGACGGATTAATGGGTGTGATTAAGTGACAAATTTGGCAAGAATTACTAAACCCTGGTTTGGATCGAGACATGAGTCTTAAATTAAAAAGAAAATTTGTTCATGAGCCTATTTATTTGTGGGAGTGATTTTATTTTTATTTTTTAAAAAAAAATTTTGACATAAATTTTTTTATATTTTATTATTCATGTAATTAATTCCACTTTAAAATGTATTTGCCTACTTTACTCTGTTATTTCATAATCTTTTTAACGGTGAGATAAATTTTATTTAGGTTTTATCATACATTTAAAAGTTGAATTTAATTGAGGGGATATTGTTAAATGTTTATTGAAGTCTTTTTTTTTTTTAAAATGTTGCTACCCTTTCCGTCAAAACCACCGTTAATGATTAAATAATATTGGGCAAAAAAGGACAAAATAGGAACCTCAGGGGACAATTTTCGAATTTTTAGAAATTTCAGGGAGGATTTTATAATTTTCTGTACCCTTGCCCTTTTTCTCAAACCAATTCCAGTGTTAAGAGTTCTGAACTCCGAGATTAGTTCTACACAAAAATAATGGACGCCGACGGAGCAGATAGGAGTTGTAAAAGTTTCTTCGTGGCAGTTCACGTCGGCGCTGGGTTTCACTCGCCGTCGAACGAGAGAGCTCTCAGGTCTGCCATGAATCGAGCCTGCCTCGCCGCCGCCTCTGTCCTCCAAAAGGTCTGTGTGTGTGTTACTTAACACTGTTTGATTGGCGAGAAACCGGAGAAAGAACAGAGAGAAAATAAAGATTAGAAAGCAAACAAATTACTAGAACGATTTGTCGACTAAANGTAACTACATTGCTCAGGACTTTGAATATCATGTTTGAGGTTTGTGCTCTCCAATTTTAATAAAAACTTCCACTTGCAGGAAAGAACACACCGAAATCTTTTGGTAGACCACAATACTGGATTTGGGTCCAGACTTGTGCTTATTATTTTGTTTATCTAAGCAGCTGATTACCGTGACTTGACTTGGATTAGAACATTGTAGTCTTAAGAAGATGGATGGATTAATGGGTGTGATTGAGTGACAAATTTGGCAGGAATTACTAAACCCTGGTTTGGATCGAGACATGAGTCGTAAATTAAAAAGAAAATTTGTTCATGAGCCTATTTATTTGTGGGAGTGATTTTATTTTTATTTTTAAAAAAAAAAATTTGACATAAATTTTTTTATATTTTTTTATTCATGTAATTAATTCCACTTTAAAATGTATTTGCCTACTTTACTCTGTTATTTCATAATCTTTTTAACGGTGAGATAAATTTTATTTAGGTTTTATCATACATTTAAAAGTTGAATTTAATTGAGGGGATATTGTTAAATGTTTATTGAAGTCTTTTTTTTTTTTTAAAATGTTGCTACCCTTTCCGTCAAAACCACCGTTAATGATTAAATAATATTGGGCAAAAAAGGACAAAATAGGAACCTCAGGGGACAATTTTCGAATTTTTAGAAATTTCAGGGAGGATTTTATAATTTTCTGTACCCTTGCCCTTTTTCTCAAACCAATTCCAGTGTTAAGAGTTCTGAACTCCGAGATTAGTTCTACACAAAGATAATGGACGCCGACGGAGCAGATAGGAGTTGTAAAAGTTTCTTCGTGGCAGTTCACGTCGGCGCTGGGTTTCACTCGCCGTTGAACGAGAGAGCTCTCAGGTCTGCCATGAATCGAGCGTGCCTCGCCGCCGCCTCTGTCCTCCAAAAGGTCTGTGTGTGTGTTACTTAACACTGTTTGATTGGCGAGAAACCGGAGAAAGAAAAGAGAGAAAATAAAGATTAGAAAGCAAACAAATTACTAGAACGATTTGTCGACTAAAATTACCCTCTCACAAGCAATGCATTTATTAAATTCAAAGTAGATTCGGCCGTGGAAATGCTCTGATNTCTCAAACCAATTCCAGTGTTAAGAGTTCTGAACTCCGAGATTAGTTCTACACAAAAATAATGGACGCCGACGGAGCAGATAGGAGTTGTAAAAGTTTCTTCGTGGCAATTCACGTCGGCGCTGGGTTTCACTCGCCGTCGAACGAGAGAGCTCTCAGGTCTGCCATGAATCGAGCCTGCCTCGCCGCCGCCTCTGTCCTCCAAAAGGTCTGTGTGTGTGTTACTTAACACTGTTTGATTGGCGAGAAACCGGAGAAAGAACAGAGAGAAAATAAAGATTAGAAAGCAAACAAATTACTAGAACGATTTGTCGACTAAAATTACCCTTTCACAAGCAATGCATTTATTAAATTCAAAGTAGATTCGGCCGTGGAAATGCTCTGATATTGCGATTTTTCCGATCTAAATCAAACATGTTTTAAATGAAGAAGATTTGACTCAACATGTTCTATAATGGATGTGACTTCTGTAATGTGAGATTAGACAATAATTTGTGCTTTTTGGAAAACATAAAGATAGGTTAAGACTTGGACCGAGACAATGGCCATTATGGATGTGAAATGTTTTATTGAAGCATTATCTGAAAAACGAGTTAATGGAATGTAGTTATTGTTCGTTTGAGTTTGTACTTGAAAAATACACTTTCTTTGATGATTGTGTTTATTTGTTTGATTTAGGGTGCCGGTGGATGTATAGATGCTGTTTCGGCTGCAATCCAAGTATTAGAGGTATGTCACTATTCTGTATCCCCAAATGAGGATGTAGTTGTATTCAAATGTGGGAGGTGTGTCCTTTGGTGCAGTGCATAGAGTATTTGAGGGGCTTAAATTCTTGTCACTCTTGAAGCCTGGTTATTCTTGGGAGGATCGTAAATGAAGTTATAGAGATTTTTATCATTTGTTAGTTTGCCATTGAGTTCAACTGTGGTTGCTTGGAAGCAAAATTGTGTTTGTTTGACAACTTGTAGAAACTTGGAGAAGACTACCTACATTGCAAGTAGTTTTGAATAATTAGAAAATAGGTTATGATATCTCAAAATGTCCAACAATACGTCCAAAGTAATTGATGAAGGGGAAGGGAAAAAAGAAGAAGAAAGAAGTTGCACAAGAAGAAATGAAGCAATTATTCTTGCAANAGGAAGGGGAAAAAGAAGAAAGACGTTGCACAAGAAGAAATGAAGCAATTATTCTTGCAATTCCACCTTGCTTCTTAGATATCATTTTTTCTAGCTTCATCAGTGATTGCAAATTTGCTGGGATTGGATTTTGCCACCGAATCTAGTTCTGAATCTTTTTGGGAATTAGATGATTTTTATGGTACACCTTCACTTTCTGTTCTGTGTCGTCCATAAGTGTGTATTAGAGAAGAATTTTCACTTTGTTATAAGGTGATCTTGAGGATTCAAAACTGCTGCTTTTTAAATGTTGCAATACTAGTTAGAATCTTATATATTTGCAATATATTGGCGACTCACTCCAGTATTAAGCAGTTGTGTGTGGGTGAATGTAGAGATAAATGGCGACCGAAACTTAAATAGAGATTGCATTCATAAGGCACAACTCGATCCCATTTCAATGCTAATGGCAGCTAAGGAATAGCGAGTTAGTACAATGCTAAAAAAATAAGGACTGAGGTGTTATTATAAAAGTATTAAAGTTGGAGGAATACTTAGTGTTACTAGACCCATGATTTATAACTGAAAAAACAAACCGAAACACATTTCGATCTTTTCTTTTTGGGTGGAGGTGGGGAAGGAGTGTGGATGAGATATATGAAGAACTCAAAGTGTTATAGTCTAATAATTCCTCTATACAAGCTGAAAAACTACGGTAATGGACATTGAGAAAACATAGCTAACATTTTGCGGTGTGGGTTACATTTGATATAGATAGATATATTATCTCAGCTGGGGGACTCTAAATTGTGAAAGAATTTGAGGAAAAAATTATGGATGTCTTCTGTACTCAATTATTTTATTATTCTATTGGATAAGATATCAAAGGTGGTAGGTGTAAACCCCTTATTGAATAAATGTTGTTTTAAAGACAATTCAACTGTAATGTGGTCTGACCAAAGTCATTAGCACTTTGTGGGCTGCCTAGGCTAGTTTGATTCTTGGAAAACTAATTTTGCTGGAAAGACAATTCTTAACTTTTTCTAAGAATGCATGGCTTCAGAAAAGTTCACTTTTAAGTGGGTCTGTTNTTAGCACTTTGTGGGCTGCCTAGGCTAGTTTGATTCTTGGAAAACTAATTTTGCTGGAAAGACAATTGTTAACTTTTTCTAAGAATGCATGGCTTCAGAAAAGTTCACTTTTAAGTGGGTCTGTTNCCTCCTACAGTTATCTGACTCGCCAAGGATTGTAAATGTTTCCTCCAGCAGGGGACAGTTGACGGTATGGAACATAATTCTTCTTCAGATATAGAAATTCCAATCTGTTAGTGAAGTAATTTTATGGAGCTTTTTACTTGTTTTTGGTGAAGGAAGAGCTCAATTTAAAGCAGATAAATTGACCTAAAATAGGGTAAAAGTAAAACTAAGTATTCTAGTGACTTCAATTAATTCAAACTCAATTCTAGAGCTGACTTGTTTAATCAAAGCTCTGTGATTTTCCATATCTACTTTTTTGGCCTTTGAATTGATCCTGTAGCTGACTAATAGATGCATTACCTGTTCGGCCCATATCATTTGTAGACAGTACATAGAAAGGTTTTACGTCTATTGTCGGCGAATTATGGTTCCATTTACTAATAGGCAGCATGGTTTACGATGCTGATATTTGTGGTTACTGGTTATGGAGCTGAGGTGCAATACAAGATGAAATTGGCAAGACAATTTCTTCCGAAAATTACTCGCCTTTAATTGTTTATGGAAGTGACTATGCCAACAGTTGAAGTTTTTTTCTTGACAAAATATGTTGTTTCAGAATATGCCGAATAGATGGGCTAAAGGAATATTAAGTGATGCTGAAAGCCTTACAGAAGAGAAAGTGGATGAGGTACTGAATGAGTTTCTAAAAGACTTTAAAGAGGGTTCCTTACAAGCCAAAAGTTGGCCTTCTTTTGCATCAGCATATACAGTCTCAAAAGCAGTCATGAACGCTTACACGAGGATTCTAGCGAAGAAGTACCCTACTTTCTGCATCAATTGTGTCTGTCCTGGCTACGTCAAAACAGATATAAACTTCAATACTGGTAGATTTTCTGTAGAAGAGGGCGCTGAAAGTCCAGTGAGGCTGGCTCTGCTGCCTGATGGAGGGCCTTCTGGCATGTTCTTTTTTCGGAACGAAGTATCTACCTTTGAAGGAAATTGAGCCATTATAATTCTGCAAGAGGAAGATAAAGCTATGTGTCTTAGACTACCACTGCATATAATGTAATGTACTTCACATATGTTTATAATTCGAACAGCTAAACAGTGATGTATGTGTGTAACTACATTGCTCAGGACTTTGAATATCATGTTTGAGGTTTGTGCTCTCAAATCTTAATAAAAACTCACACTTGCAGGCAGGAACACATCGAAATCTTTTGATAGACCACAATACTGGATTTGGGTCTAGGCTTGTGCCAACTATTTTTTCGGTTCAACGGCCGATTATCGTGTTTTGAGTTGGATTAGAACATTGTGGTCTTAGGGAGATGGACGGATTAATGGGTGTGATTAAGTGACAAATTTGGCAAGAATTACTAAACCCTGGTTTGGATCGAGACATGAGTCTTAAATTAAAAAGAAAATTTGTTCATGAGCCTATTTATTTGTGGGAGTGATTTTATTTTTATTTTTTAAAAAAAAATTTTGACATAAATTTTTTTATATTTTANAGTAATTGATGAAGAGGAAGGGGAAAAAGAAGAAAGACGTTGCACAAGAAGAAATGAAGCAATTATTCTTGCAATTCCACCTTGCTTCTTAGATATCATTTTTTCTAGCTTCATCAGTGATTGCAAATTTGCTGGGATTGGATTTTGCCACCGAATCTAGTTCTGAATCTTTTTGGGAATTAGATGATTTTTATGGTACACCTTCACTTTCTGTTCTGTGTCGTCCATAAGTGTGTATTAGAGAAGAATTTTCACTTTGTTATAAGGTGATCTTGAGGATTCAAAACTGCTGCTTTTTAAATGTTGCAATACTAGTTAGAATCTTATATATTTGCAATATATTGGCGACTCACTCCAGTATTAAGCAGTTGTGTGTGGGTGAATGTAGAGATAAATGGCGACCGAAACTTAAATAGAGATTGCATTCATAAGGCACAACTTGATCCCATTTCAATGCTAATGGCAGCTAAGGAATAGCGAGTTAGTACAATGCTAAAAAAATAAGGACTGAGGTGTTATTATAAAAGTATTAAAGTTGGAGGAATACTTAGTGTTACTAGACCCATGATTTATAACTGAAAAAACAAACCGAAACACATTTCGATCTTTTCTTTTTGGGTGGAGGTGGGGAAGGAGTGTGGATGAGATATATGAAGAACTCAAAGTGTTATAGTCTAATAATTCCTCTATACAAGCTGAAAAACTACGGTAATGGACATTGAGAAAACATAGCTAACATTTTGCGGTGTGGGTTACATTTGATATAGATAGATATATTATCTCAGCTGGGGGACTCTAAATTGTGAAAGAATTTGAGGAAAAAATTATGGATGTCTTCTGTACTCAATTATTTTATTATTCTATTGGATAAGATATCAAAGGTGGTAGGTGTAAACCCCTTATTGAATAAATGTTGTTTTAAAGACAATTCAACTGTAATGTGGTCTGACCAAAGTCATTAGCACTTTGTGGGCTGCCTAGGCTAGTTTGATTCTTGGAAAACTAATTTTGCTGGAAAGACAATTCTTAACTTTTTCTAAGAATGCATGGCTTCAGAAAAGTTCACTTTTAAGTGGGTCTGTTTTATTACAGGATGATCCTAGCACGAATGCTGGCCGAGGCTCAAATTTGACTGAAGATGGGCATGTGGAATGTGATGCCAGTGTCATGGATGGCGATTCTGGAGCATTTGGAGCTGTTGGTGCGGTGCGAGGTATTTCCGAAGCACATGATTGTGTATATAATCATATAATATTGTAATCATACTCTAAACTGAGTCCACAGTTGAACTTTTGTGCCCTTAATCATCATTGTGCAGTTCATTTGGTTTTGCTTACATCTGAGGCTTCTAATTCCATTTTATGCTCTGTTTTCTGTGAAGCTAATGATTATCAGGTGTGCGAAATGCTGTCCAAATTGCTGCTTTTTTGGCCAAGGAACAGATGTTGGGTTCATCATTGCTGGGTCGAATACCGCCCATGTATGGTTACTCTTCTGTGTTTGTCTTTGAAGTTTGAACCCACTGGACAAGAAACCTTTTTCCTTGAGGATTGCACATAACCCATAATTTCTTTTAAATCATAGAGTGGCTATGTTATGTTTTATTTATTTTGTCCACGTGTCCATACTATCTGGAGGTATATGTCATGCATAATTCTTTGTAATAGGGCATGAATTGGATGTGCTTGGTCCTCATCTTACCAGACTTTATGTTCAAATCACATTAGCTGTAAGATTATTTCATTCAATTCATTAGCATTTTTTGACAATCATATGTTTTACTGGCCATGAGGAATTTTTAGGTTGTTTTTATACATGTTATGGAAACTTAATGCTATTTTTATTCTATTTATTAGTTTGTTTTTGTTTTTTTATCCCCGAGGTTGACTAGTGCCTGGACCATTCTGAATTTTTTGTCAGATATTAGGAACTTCTCATTGCCTTCATCTGCCTCATTCACATTCCTCTTACCTCTGATATTTTGTTCTCTGATGATGCAATTGTTTCGTTGCCCAGCTTCTTAGCCGGTGAAGGTGCTCGCATGTGGGCAAGGTCCAAAGGCATTCTTTTGCCAGGGACCATAAGTGAGGCTGATGAGGTAGTATCTCTTTGTCTTCTCATCATAACTGTAATCACACTATTTTTATTGGTAAGAAACAAACATTCATTGATAAGAACCAAAAAAAAGTGCAAGCAAGGGTGAACAAGTAGTCCAACCCTCATACATACAAAAAAAAAAAGAGCAACAAACAAAACAAAACAGTCATCAAAAGAAAATTATCTCCCACACAATGCAATCTAACTTGAGGTAATAAGAATAGTGTGACTACAGTTTATAGTGTGATCTCCCACAAGAGTAGTGTGATTACAGTTTATAACTGTAATCACATTATTCTTCCTCGTATATAGCATCGTTATGCTTCTTAGACATACTGATCTAAAACTTGGTCAGATTTTTTCCCTTTTATTTTGGAATTGGGTTCTTTATATTTGCACATATTTTGGAGACAGTGGTTGGTGACAGAAAGGGCAAAAACCCAATGGAAGAAGTACAAGAGAATGCTTGACAATGCCAAAGCTATTACAAACATGTGTGAGGTGGAACTTCCTTCTACTCCTGAAGAGACTGCTGCAGTATCAGGTATTTTTTGCCATTCACTTATTTACATATTAACAGATAAACCCCCTTAGGCTTCAAGGTGCCAGTATGTTCAGTTGGGGGTTACTTTGTGAATTCACCTATCATAGGGGGTTAAACTGATCCGTTAGTTACCTTTACAATCTTTCACATATTATCCTAAGAGGTACATAGCTATATCAAAAATAATAAGATTGAATGCGCGAACCACTAGTGAAAGGAAATCAAGTCAACTCCATAGATCGTAATTTTTCAATCTTTTTTTCCTTTTGCTTCAATTCACACATAAGAAACAAACTGAACTCATACTTTCTGTGATGTCCTAGTTAATCATGTTTAAGCATAGCATGCAATGCTTAAATCCATTCATTTTGTTTTGAAATCACATTTTTTACGNCGCGAACCACTAGTGAAAGGAAATCAAGTCAACTCCATAGATCGTAATTTTTCAGTCTTTTTTTCCTTTTGCTTCAATTCACACATAAGAAACAAACTGAACTCATACCTTCTGTGATGTCCTAGTTAATCATGTTTAAGCATAGCATAGCATAGCATGCAATGCTTAAATCCATTCATTTTGTTTTGAAATCACATTTTTTACGCAATAGTGTTTAGGTCTGTAGAGCTCTTCATTCACAAACTATTATTTGCATGGATGTTCTTGTCAGAATTAAATGTTTAGTGTCCATCATAAAATTGCTCTTATCCCCCTGCTTTATAAGGCCGTTATAACGAAGTTTTGGTAATTTATCACAAAAATGTGGCTTTTGTTTTCTGCTGCTGAGGAACCACACAGAAGCCTATAATCCTCCCATACACAACTCTTTGAATTAGTGTCTTCTTCAGTTCTTTGAGAATGGATTACTCTTTTGTGATGTAGCTTACCCTCTACATATTGCGCAAGTTGTTTTCCTTGGTTTTATAATACTGTTCTTTAGAAAAATACTTTACTAGATACCATAGGATTGCTCCTTGAGTTGTACTAGTTGTGTATCTCTACCATCGAGTGTATCTTGACTAGAACCAATTTTTAAAGTCGTTATGTACCCACAATGTTTTGGTTCTTCTACCAGTCCAATTTTTTGTATTGGAGTTTACTAGCAGGCCTTTTCTATTGATTTCTTACCGTTAATGTTCTCTTTTTCTGAAACTGTAGTACATTTTTCAGCTTTGTAAAGATTATTTATTTATTATTGAATTTTGGTTTGTACATCACAAATAGATGGTCAAAACTGTGACCATTCAAAAGGTAATATGGTTGGTCGATGTGCTACACTGAGTGCACTGGAAGAGGATTGCGTTATGGACACTGTTGGAGTTGTTTGTGTTGACACTGAAGGACGCATAGCATCTGGATCCTCAAGTGGTGGTATTGCCCTGAAGGTGATGCACCTCTAGCTTATAGGGATCATTTTCTTGCATATATAAGTGACTAATATTCCTTCTATTTTCCTAAACAATAAACTGTTATTCACATACTTTCTGTTGGTGTTAATGTAACCTTCTAGTGTATGTATGTGTACGGTCTGATCCTACAATGGTACTGGTGCATCACTGATGCTAATATCTTTCTGATGACTAAATCCTTCGCCAACTTAATTACATAAGAATGTTGCAATTTTTACAAATTGTTCCTTTTTCCTTTGGGTTCAAATCAGATATCTGCTAGTGATGTTTGTAAATATTCATATGCTTGCTCTTTCCAGCAGAGGTCATGATTCCATTACTGCATAGCTCTCTGTTTTGTACTAATAATTGACATATATTGATTAAATATCTATGACAGGTTAGTGGCCGTGTGGGATTAGCAGCAATGTACGGCTCTGGTTGTTGGGCGTCTTCAAAGGACCCCTTTGGGGCTCCTTTTATTGTTGGTTGTTGTGTTAGTGGTGCTGGAGAGTACCTAATGAAGGGATTAGCTGCACGAGAGTGCTGTATGTCGTCAGCATTGTATGGTTTGTTATTCATATTTTCCAAATTTTTTTTATCTTCATTTGAAGAAGTATTCAATGTTGTGAACTTTTAGTCTTCCTAGTTTCTAACATTGTACTTGCTAGGTTTTTTATAATGGCATTATACTCTCTGGGTAGGCAATTATAGTTCAATACTAGGAAATGGTTGCATATCCCATATTTTTTCTGTGAACAGTATCTTCTTTGTAGATTTTGCAGCTATGAAGTAAGAAAGTTTCAAAATAACAACAATCAATTCCTCCATTCTAATCTCCTAGATATTGCAGCAAAAATTATCTTTCTGTTATTTCCTTGTATGCAGCATTTACATTCTGAGCTCTGAACTTTGAAGACTCTTGAATAGGAAACCATGGAGAGGGTATCTTATGTTCTGATACGTATCATTTATTTTTTGGTGGGGGGGAGGGGCTACCCTACGTGGTATAGCCTTGCCTCTTTAATTGTTGGCTTTTTGACATGATTCCAATTTTAGTATTTTCCCATGATTAGACATATTTATATTTCTGAGGGATGTTTGACTCTTTTATGTTACATTTCTTTCTTGCTAATCTTATCCTTGTTTTTTATTTTTTTTTTATTTTTTTTTTGTTTTTGGGTCCAGTTTTTACGTCTATTATTTGTTTTAATTTCTAAACTTAAGATCCTTTTTCCATAATGATCGACTTTAAATTTATTAATAAGGTCATAAACGTCTTAATCTTTACTTCATGTATTCTCTCTTTTTGAAGTTCCTTGATATTGACTTCTTATAGTGTGGTGCTTTCCCTGGATGATTTTAGTCTTGTAAATCTGCAAAAATCAGATTGTATGCATCTATTGCCCAATATGTTAATATGACCTGGTTAGCTTTGTTGCAGGTCTCAGGCTGGTCCAGCCTCGGCCTGCATGGATGTTTTAGGCTCGGTTATGCCACAAAATGGTCAACATGGTACTGATAAAACTGCTGGAATTCTGCTAGTGCAAGCCGAGGCTCCTGTACTGGTAAGCTGACTAATAGTTTTATTTGTTGTTTCTCTTAGAAAACGTACTGTTATTTTCTTGATGTATTGTTTTAGGTTTCTGGGAGTTCAGCAAAGCTGAAAGCTGTTGAGATTGCAGCTGCCTACACTTCATTGTCTTTCGGAATAGGTTATTTTGGGAGCTCTATGGTGCGGCCCAAGGTATTATAACCTGTTTAGTTTTAGTATAAAGCCTCATTTTATGCAAGCTTTCTCCTTGATGATCTGTTGCATATCATGTGGGAGATTCTGGTGAATTTTGTTGAGTCATATGGATAGCACAAATTTCTTACAGCGAATCATCTGATAAAATTTAAAACAACCTATTAGGATATAGTAATGATGTTTCACTGCATGAAGTCCTCCTTTAGCTGATGTTTCAAGTGATCCTGGGAAAACTTGCTATCGAATATTAAATACGACTTGTTACCAATGATTTTTCTGAACTGTTTGTTCTATTTTTATACTTTCTACGTTATCCTGCTTAAGTACACCAGCTTTGGGTTTTTTGTTTGCAACATGGTTAGTTTACATTGTTAAGTAGGTTCTTAAAGTTCATTACTTATTTACAGGTTTCAATTCTTAGGTGTACAAAACAGCAAAACAAATCTGCTATCAACCAGTTTGCCGCTCGAATTGATCTTACAATCAAGAAATTGTAGCGAGAGTTTGACGGGATAAGTGAGACACAAACGAGTTGATGGCATGGCAGCAGAACGAGAAGGACACCTATTGCTGTGTTCAGGGAGGGTCATTACCGGTTTGAAAATTGGCTGCATCACCCCTCAGTTGTTTATGAGAATATATAGACCTCTATAATTTATAAATGTTCCAGTATGTTCGTTTCTATCCTTTGGGAAACGAGTTTACACTAGAGAGAAAACAAGAACATCAAGTAGACCATTCTTTGTGAACAATATTGACATGATACAAGGGTCTGGAAGGAAACCCAGGGGCTAAAATTGCAGCCAATCTTTCGAACAATCTTACAATTGAATATGCAGTGGATAGTTCCCACGAAGTTGTGTGTCATCATTCATGTTGCAGGGAAACGTGAGCCCTCATGCCCGAGCACTGTTCCCCTCGTAAGGTTCTCTTAAATTGCCAACTTCAGATCGCTTACACCTTCACACATATATAGATCATGTCGAACATCCCAGTCACAAGAGATGCTTTTCTGCTATATATATAAGGACTTATCTATTTCTCGAAGGTCATGTGTAAGAACAATAGAGCAAGATTAGCGGTGTCTATGGGTTGGTTTGGCCCATGGGNTATTTTTTTTTTGTTTTTGGGTCCAGTTTTTACGTCTATTATTTGTTTTAATTTCTAAACTTAAGATCCTNATTTTTTGGGTCCAGTTTTTACGTCTATTATTTGTTTTAATTTCTAAACTTAAGATCCTTTTTCCATAATGATCGACTTTAAATTTATTAATAAGGTCATAAACGTCTTAATCTTTACTTCATGTATTCTCTCTTTTTGAAGTTCCTTGATATTGACTTCTTATAGTGTGGTGCTTTCCCTGGATGATTTTAGTCTTGTAAATCTGCAAAAATCAGATTGTATGCATCTATTGCCCAATATGTTAATATGACCTGGTTAGCTTTGTTGCAGGTCTCAGGCTGGTCCAGCCTCGGCCTGCATGGATGTTTTAGGCTCGGTTATGCCACAAAATGGTCAACATGGTACTGATAAAACTGCTGGAATTCTGCTAGTGCAAGCCGAGGCTCCTGTACTGGTAAGCTGACTAATAGTTTTATTTGTTGTTTCTCTTAGAAAACGTACTGTTATTTTCTTGATGTATTGTTTNATCGGCCTGCATGGATGTTTTAGGCTCGGTTATGCCACAAAATGGTCAACACGGTACTGATAAAACTGCTGGAATTCTGCTAGTGCAAGCCGAGGCTCCTGTACTGGTAAGCTGACTAAAAGTTTTATTTGTTGTTTCTCTTAGAAAACGTACTGTTATTTTCTTGATGTATTGTTTTAGGTTTCTGGGAGTTCAGCAAAGCTGAAAGCTGTTGAGATTGCAGCTGCCTACACTTCATTGTCTTTCGGAATAGGTTACTTTGGGAGCTCTATGGTGCGGCCCAAGGTATTATAACCTGTTTAGTTTTAGTATAAAGCCTCATTTTATGCAAGCTTTCTCCTTGATGATCTGTTGCATATCATGTGGGAGATTCTGGTGAATTTTGTTGAGTCATATGGATAGCACAAATTTCTTACAGCGAATCATCTGATAAAATTTAAAACAACCTATTAGGATATAGTAATGATGTTTCACTGCATGAAGTCCTCCTTTAGCTGATGTTTCAAGTGATCCTGGGAAAACTTGCTATCGAATATTAAATACGACTTGTTACCAATGATTTTTCTGAACTGTTTGTTCTATTTTTATACTTTCTACGTTATCCTGCTTAAGTACACCAGCTTTGGGTTTTTTGTTTGCAACATGGTTAGTTTACATTGTTAAGTAGGTTCTTAAAGTTCATTACTTATTTACAGGTTTCAATTCTTAGGCGTACAAAACAGCAAAACAAATCTGCTATCAACCAGTTTGCCGCTCGAATTGATCTTACAATCAAGAAATTGTAGCGAGAGTTTGACGGGATAAGTGAGACACAAACGAGTTGATGGCATGGCAGCAGAACGAGAAGGACACCTATTGCTGTGTTCAGGGAGGGTCATTACCGGTTTGAAAATTGGCTGCATCACCCCTCAGTTGTTTATGAGAATATATAGACCTCTATAATTTATAAATGTTCCAGTATGTTCGTTTCTATCCTTTGGGAAACGAGTTTACACTAGAGAGAAAACAAGAACATCAAGTAGACCATTCTTTGTGAACAATATTGACATGATTCAAGGGTCTGGAAGGAAACCCAGGGGCTAAAATTGCAGCCAATCTTTCGAACAATCTTACAATTGAATATGCAGTGGATAGTTCCCACGAAGTTGTGTGTCATCATTCATGTTGCAGGGAAACGTGAGCCCTCATGCCCGAGCACTGTTCCCCTCGTAAGGTTCTCTTTAATTGCCAACTTCAGATCGCTTACACCTTCACACATATATAGATCATGTCTAACATCCCAGTCACAAGAGATGCTTTTCTGCTATATATATAAGGACTTATCTATTTCTCGAAGGTCATGTGTAAGAACAATAGAGCAAGATTAGCGGTGTCTATGGGTTGGTTTGGCCCATGGGTCTCATTACCTTGATAAGCCCAATAGTGAACTGAGTCCAATATCTCTTGCCCTCAAATCCATTACTCAACCCAAATCCAGCCCATGAGCCCACCCACAAAAATAAAAATAAAAAATTAGTTTCACAATGTACACAATGCTCAATTTAAAAAAAAAAAGTTTAAGACTCCTCTCCTGTTCATAAAATTATTCATTATTTACTTTTTATCCATTTTAACTATATTTTTAATTCAAAAATATAGTTTATAGAAATATTAAGATGAATTTTTTTTAAATGAAAAGTCCAGTCCAGTGAATGGCGGGTTGGACTACAAGTATCTTATCTTTATTTAAAGCCTGTTNTAAAAAAAAAAAGTTGAAGACTTCTCTCCTATTCATAAAATTATTCATTATTTACTTTTTATCCATTTTAACTATATTTTTAATTCAAAAATATAGTTTATAGAAATATTAAGATGAATTTTTTTTAAATGAAAAGTCCAGTCCAGTGAATGGCGGGTTGGACTACAAGTATCTTATCTTTATTTAAAGCCTGTTCCATCCAATAACTCGCTCGAGGGGCTTACCCTAAAATTTTGCAGACCTAGTTCAGCCCATGGATACCCCTAAGCTAGACAATGGGGCATGGCATGCTCACCACACAAAATAACGGAAGACGAAAGAATGCTCCGATGAACATGCATAGATAGGTTAGGCAGANGCTACAAGTATCTTATCTTTATTTAAAGCCTGTTCCATCCAATAACTCGCTCGAGGGGCCTACCCTAAAATTTTGCAGACCTAGTTCAGCCCATGGATACCCCTAAGCTAGACAATGGGGCATGGCATGCTCACCACAAAAAATAACGGAAGACGAAAGAATGCTCCGATGAACATGCATAGATAGGTTAGGCAGAGGGAAACTGAACCAAATTCAATTACATTCTTCTTCTGAGTTGGAAAGCACGTGTTGATGTTTTGGCATGCTTGAAGACGTTTGGCTCTCGATGTGAGCCTCGCCCCTCGATATCTCACTGGAAGTTGTGAGCTCTTTTTGCTGAGATGAGAGTATTTAATAGAAGCATTGCTATAGTCATGGGCCCAACACCCCCAGGAACAGGAGTAATAGCTGAAGCAATCTTGGAGGCCTCCTCATAGCATACATCTCCAACTAGCTTATAGCCTCGAGGGCTTTTAGCATCCTGTCACAACATACCAAAATAGTTTAATAGTGTGTTAATGCGAATCGAAACATAAAAACCAAACAAATCATAACCAAAGTAATTTCATTGTCGTTCCTCACTGTAAATGGAAGAGACATCTCATGCTAAAACTCACAATTTATTCATTCCACGCAAATATAGGTGATCTATTCATCAAAGATGATGTTGATGGAATTTAAACTTTAACTGGTTTACTGTGGTTGCAAGACAGAAAAAACCCAATGCGATTGAGTGCACTTGCTAATATGTTCAAAAATTAAGTGTGGCAAAAATAAGAATATTAACATGAATGTGTGATAAACTTAGAAAAACTAGAATGAGGAACGATTATATCTGTGAAAAAATAGAGGTAGCAGTTATAGAAGATAAATTAAAGGAAAATCGACTTAGGTAGTTTGAACATATTTATAGACGACCTACTACGGCATGGTGAAAAGAGTGTTATATTGACAGTAAGCGTAAAGATAGGAAGAAGACCAAAATGAACCTTAAATGAAATAGTAAAGAAAGATATGATTATTTATGGGTTACCAAAAAACAGTTTGGTAGAGCACAACGGCGAGTGCGTGCGTGCACACGTGTCTTGTGGAGAGAGAGAGAGAAGCATGTACTATGTAAAGACATTGAGGAAAGTTTGTTCACCTCAACTGGATTGATTCCAACATCAATAATAACTGCACCTGGCTTTATCCAGCTACCCCTCACCATGTTTGGTTGCCCTACAGCTGCGATTATTATATCTGCTTGTTTTGTGATCTCCTCTGGTTTCTTGGTTCTGGAGTGGACAACGCTGACAGTGGCATCTTCCCTCTACCAGCAAAATGCAAAAAGGTGTCAAGATGATATATAAAATCAGGGAACAACAACATATCACAGGAAGGTATGATATAAGTTAGGGAAATTGGCTCATCCAATGTTCCAAATAAAAATGGTTTGGAAATAGAGTATTACTTGCAGCAACAAAGCAGCAGGCATTCCAACAATGTTGCTCCTACCAATCACAACAGCCCTCTTCCCCTTAATGTTGACACCATATCTATGCAACAATTCAATGCATCCTTTAGGTGTACACGGAACAAACAATGGTTCTCTACCTCGCATGGCAAGACGACCAATGTTTAACGGGTGGAATCCATCCACATCTTTCTCAATGCAAACAGCATTCAAGATGTTCTGCTCATTCATATGCTGTTCCAAAAATCCATCAAGATAATGAGAACTGTGTAACAATCACATGCAGGACAACTCGTAAAAAGGAACAAATAAAATTCACATATAGTGCAAACCATTTGTTTTCATTTTGATTCTTCAACATAAGCTCAAGCACTAGTGATATTTGAAATGTTTTCTGTAAATATTCAGCATATTATATGTAGGATTCTACATATGTTTTCAGGTTTCAAGTCTTTCTCTATTTCCAGTGCCAAGGAATCTGCCACACATCGAAGCATACAAGAAATAGATGCAAGAGTGCATCAGCAAATGCCCTGAATAGTCCCTTTTTTGTGGGGAAATCAGCCCAACTGAAACCTCCAGTATTATTTTCAGTATTTATCCATTAGTGCAGTGGGGCCAATTCAGAATCGTAATAAATATCAGGTAAGGGATGACACAATCACATCATCTTAATATCATGGCTGAAGATGGGCTATTCTATATTTATTTAACATAAACCAGAACAATGCAATCAAAGTAGAAGCACATTAATAATGTTACGCTAGGATGACAGTTTCACCTAAACCAATTACAGATGATCACAGATAATCTCCAAAATGTCTAATAATTACGAAGGCATGTGTCGAACCAGATAAGTTAAAGAGAACTGAACTCACATGACTCAAACGAATCATGATTTTTAGTCAAATCTTAACAATTGGAACAGATCATCTTCATCAACAATAGTCCTTTCCTTCCCTTTTTTTATTGGGTGTGTGTGTGGTGGTTTTGGTTTGGGGGGGNATTTTGGTTTGGGGGGGGGGGGGGCTGCTTTTGCTACTAACAAATATAATATTTCCCATTAAAATCATAATNGTTTTGGTTTGGGGGGGGGGCTGCTTTTGCTACTAACAAATATAATATTTCCCATTAAAATCATAATGTATATTACCTAAAAAGGAACAACGAATAGTCACAGTTTTTTTCAATTCATGAACTCGTTTGTTGTAAGCAGAACAGGAATTTTTGTGCTCTAACACAATATTAGGCCAATTTCTCCATTATCGTATAAGTATAGAATAATAAAGTAAAGGAAAAATGATATTCAAATTGAGAAGCATACAGAAGGCAAAGGTAACTGAATAAGGATGCCGTGAACTGAAGGGTCATCATTGAAGTTTGAGATGTAATTGAGCACTTCTTCTTCTGTCGAGTTCTCAGGTAAAAACACTTCATAGGAATTGACCCCTACAGATTCACTGGCTTTTTTCTTGTTGCGTACATATGTTGCAGAATCCTTCCTATCCCCAACTAGGATAACTGCTAACCCTGGCACAATCCCTATTGAATCCTTCATCCTGGATATTTCAGCAGTTATTTCATCTCTGATTTCTTTTGCAACTGATTTTCCATCAATAACCTTCGCAAATGCCTCGGTAGTCATTGCAGCTGCATAATAAACCAACTGATATTAGGCAAAATTGTCAAAGATCCAACAGAAAACCCCACATGCTTCCCAACCACCACAAAATTGGCTGAATCAATTCACAATCTAGTTAGATAAACCAAAAGTTTGAGTTGAAGCCATATCCTCTAAAGATTTACAATCACAACTTCATTTTGTGATATCGTTTCTGCATAGTCAGAGCACCTGTGTTACAGTAGGACATTGATATGGGTACTGTAGTAAGAAGCCTCCACAACAAACACAGTAGGATATTGATATGGGTACTGATTAGCATCAAACACAGAAAATTATTATGGGTTCTCATTATGTGTCCAATACATAAATCTTTGAAAAACAAACCCAATAGGGGTGTCTAATGAAATTTGCAATAGTAGAGGAATCTTCTCAATCTATATCCTATATTCTATTTAACAGATTGAAGAATTAGGCAGCACAGACACCAGATACAACCACAGGCATGACCAGCCACCGAAAATTTCAGGAGTACTTACTGATGAGACACTTCTGAGAAGGGAGTAGATTGCCGACACGTGTCCTCGGCACTAAGGGAACACCTCGTATTCTGACGAAGACACGTGTCCTCGGCACCGAGGGCACGTCTTTTGCTTTGACGAAGGCACAGCTCTAAAGGAAAACCCATTGCTCTGCCATGTGCTCGGCGCCGATGTACTCTCGGACACGTGTCCTCGCCTCCAAGTGTACCTCCATTCTGGGGTAGCCACGTGTCCTCGGCGCCAAAGGCACTTACTGCACTCGGGTCTTGCCATGTATCTTCGGCTTCTGGCGGGCTACTGATTGACAGCTAATAGAATCTTAGACCTAGACTAGGGATTATGAGGATGCTCTCCCCAACGAAGTCAGAATGGTAGGATGGACAGTACCCTCCACCTAGGGGAATTAGACATGTGGCATGGAGTACAGGTTGAAGGGTGAATGGACAAAAATACCCCTGCTGACATGCGGCTATCTCAGGCAAACATTTAATGAATCCTTAGCTAATGGGACATCCACAGTAGCTTGGGAAGCCGAAGATATGGAACATNAGTTTGAACATATTTATAGACGACCTACTACGGCATGGTGAAAAGAGTGTTATATTGACAGTAAGCGTAAAGATAGAAGAAGACCAAAATGAACCTTAAATGAAATAGTAAAGAAAGAAATGATTATTTATGGGTTACCAAAAAACAGTTTGGTAGAGCACAACGGCGAGTGCGTGCGTGCACACGTGTCTTGTGGAGAGAGAGAGAGAAGCATGTACTATGTAAAGACATTGAGGAAAGTTTGTTCACCTCAACTGGATTGATTCCAACATCAATAATAACTGCACCTGGCTTTATCCAGCTACCCCTCACCATGTTTGGTTGCCCTACAGCTGCGATTATTATATCTGCTTGTTTTGTGATCTCCTCTGGTTTCTTGGTTCTGGAGTGGACAACGCTGACAGTGGCATCTTCCCTCTACCAGCAAAATGCAAAAAGGTGTCAAGATGATATATAAAATCAGGGAACAACAACATATCACAGGAAGGTATGATATAAGTTAGGGAAATTGGCTCATCCAATGTTCCAAATAAAAGCGGTTTGGAAATAGAGTATTACTTGCAGCAACAAAGCAGCAGGCATTCCAACAATGTTGCTCCTACCAATCACAACAGCCCTCTTCCCCTTAATGTTGACACCATATCTATGCAACAATTCAATGCATCCTTTAGGTGTACACGGAACAAACAATGGTTCTCTACCTCGCATGGCAAGACGACCAATGTTTAACGGGTGGAATCCATCCACATCTTTCTCAATGCAAACAGCATTCAAGATGTTCTGCTCATTCATATGCTGTTCCAAAAATCCATCAAGATAATGAGAACTGTGTAACAATCACATGCAGGACAACTAGTAAAAAGGAACAAAAAAAATTCACATATAGTGCAAACCATTTGTTTTCATTTTGATTCTTCAACATAAGCTCAAGCACTAGTGATATTTGAAATGTTTTCTGTAAATATTCAGCATATTATATGTAGGATTCTACATATGTTTTCAGGTTTCAAGTCTTTCTCTATTTCCAGTGCCAAGGAATCTGCCACACATCGAAGCATACAAGAAATATATGCAAGAGTGCATCAGCAAATGCCCTGAATAGTCCCATTTTTGTGGGGAAATCAGCCCAACTGAAACCTCCAGTATTATTTTCAGTATTTATCCATTAGTGCAGTGGGGCCAATTCAGAATCGTAATAAATATCAGGTAAGGGATGACACAATCACATCATCTTAATATCATGGCTGAAGATGGGCTATTCTATATTTATTTTACATAAACCAGAACAATGCAATCAAAGTAGAAGCACATTAATAATGTTACGCTAGGATGACAGTTTCACCTAAACCAATTACAGATGATCACAGATAATCTCCAAAATGTCTAATAATTACGAAGGCATGTGTCGAACCAGATAAGTTAAAGAGAACTGAACTCACATGACTCAAACGAATCATGATTTTTAGTCAAATCTTAACAATTGGAACAGATCATCTTCATCAACAATAGTCCTTTCCTTCCCTTTTTTTATTGGGTGTGTGTGTGGTGATTTTGGTTTGGGGGGGGGGCTGCTTTTGCTACTAACAAATATAATATTTCCCATTAAAATCATAATGTATATTACCTAAAAAGGAACAACGAATAGTCACAGTTTTTTTCAATTCATGAACTCGTTTGTTGTAAGCAGAACTGGAATTTTTGTGCTCTAACACAATATTAGGCCAATTTCTCCATTATCGTATAAGTATAGAATAATAAAGTAAAGGAAAAATGATATTCAAATTGAGAAGCATACAGAAGGCAAAGGTAACTGAATAAGGATGCCGTGAACTGAAGGGTCATCATTGAAGTTTGAGATGTAATTGAGCACTTCTTCTTCTGTCGAGTTCTCAGGTAAAAACACTTCATAGGAATTGACCCCTACAGATTCACTGGCTTTTTTCTTGTTGCGTACATATGTTGCAGAATCCTTCCTATCCCCAACTAGGATAACTGCTAACCCTGGCACAATCCCTATTGAATCCTTCATCCTGGATATTTCAGCAGTTATTTCATCTCTGATTTCTTTTGCAACTGATTTTCCATCAATAACCTTCGCAAATGCCTCGGTAGTCATTGCAGCTGCATAATAAACCAACTGATATTAGGCAAAATTGTCAAAGATCCAGCAGAAAACCCCACATGCTTCCCAACCACCACAAAATTGGCTGAATCAATTCACAATCTAGTTAGATAAACCAAAAGTTTGAGTTGAAGCCATATCCTCTAAAGATTTACAATCACAACTTCATTTTGTGATATCGTTTCTGCATAGTCAGAGCACCTGTGTTACAGTAGGACATTGATATGGGTACTGTAGTAAGAAGCCTCCACAACAAACACAGTAGGATATTGATATGGGTACTGATTAGCATCAAACACAGAAAATTATTATGGGTTCTCATTATGTGTCCAATACATAAATCTTTGAAAAACAAACCCAATAGGGGTGTCTAATGAAATTTGCAATAGTAGAGGAATCTTCTCAATCTATATCCTATATTCTATTTAACAGATTGAAGAATTAGGCAGCACAGACACCAGATACAACCACAGGCATGACCAGCCACCGAAAATTTCAAGAGTACTTACTGATGAGACACTTCTGAGAAGGGAGTAGATTGCCGACACGTGTCCTCGGCACTAAGGGAACACCTCGTATTCTGACGAAGACACGTGTCCTCGGCACCGAGGGCACGTCTTTTGCTTTGACGAAGGCACAGCTCTAAAGGAAAACCCATTGCTCTGCCATGTGCTCGGCGCCGATGTACTCTCGGACACGTGTCCTCGCCTCCAAGTGTACCTCCATTCTGGGGTAGCCACGTGTCCTCGGCGCCAAAGGCACTTACTGCACTCGGGTCTTGCCATGTATCTTCGGCTTCTGGCGGGCTACTGATTGACAGCTAATAGAATCTTAGACCTAGACTAGGGATTATGAGGATGCTCTCCCCAACGAAGTCAGAATGGTAGGATGGACAGTACCCTCCACCTAGGGGAATTAGACATGTGGCATGGAGTACAGGTTGAAGGGTGAATGGACAAAAATACCCCTGCTGACATGCGGCTATCTCAGGCAAACATTTAATGAATCCTTAGCTAATGGGACATCCACAGTAGCTTGGGAAGCCGAAGATATGGAACATTTAGTGCTCTGGGGACCGAGCATTTAAAGCCTCCACATCAAAGAAAGAGCATTAAATGCTCGGGAGCCNTAGCTAATGGGACATCCACAGTAGCTTGGGAAGCCGAAGATATGGAACATTTAGTGCTCTAGGGACCGAGCATTTAAAGCCTCCACATCAAAGAAAGAGCATTAAATGCTCGGGAGCCTGGGCAATTAATAACGGGGCCTCCCCCATGCAAAATAGGAGGCACACTGTCCCATGTCTGGACACTACCTGCTACCTAGATCATCAATAATGATAAGTCTTTGGGAGTATAAATAGCTCTAAAAAAATAAAAAGCAAAAGTACGCAAAATAATTCCCCAAGAAAAATACTTCCTTCTTTTCCTCTCTAAAGAACTGACATAATCGTCGGAGGGAATACACTGAAAAACACTCCAGCAGCATTCTAATGTGTCAGAAACAGCTTACAACCCGTCGGAATCAATAGAATAGCCTGGAGCAATTCATCACAACTCCTTAGGCCCCCTTTGGCCATTTCAGATTCCCCCATTGTCCAAGGATCATTGACTTTTGGGACAAACACGAGTTCACCAAGAGAGAGATTTGTATTTTCATTTATTGTGCGAAAAACACCGCGCACACTTACATAGAGGACACAATAAGACAATAAGTGTAAATATGCCAAACAGTTGCACAAAGAGAAGAACAACAGAAGAAGGGACAGAGAGGAAATGAACAACACATGAAACAAACTAATGATACCCCTACTACCAATTACATTTGCAAGATCAAAGCACAAGCAATATCACCAATGCAACATGTGTGGGTCGTGTCCGATACATTGCTAGGAATTAGGGTCGTTTTTCAGTCCGTCCGAAGAAGTGATTGCTTTTCTTCTTCTTCTAGTTCTTTCTATTTTCTTACTACTAAACGGAGATTAAGAAAACAATATTCAAGAATTCAACCTTGATCCCACCAAAAACTTCAGTCCAAATAACGAATGAACACGCTACATAACTATGGGGACGTACCAGTGATGACAGAGGACGAAGGAGAAGGTCTGTGAAAAGTGATGATGGTTCTGGGGAAGGTAGGGTTTGTGAGGCTCAAGTGGAAAGGCATCGAGGGGTGAAAATGGAAGAAGCTTCGAGGGCTCAAAGGGGGAAGCCGAGCCGCCATGGAAGAGGATGAACAGTCGGTGAACATCATCATCGACGCCATATGCTGAAATTTACGAACCAGTTGGTGTCCCAGCCCTATGCTCGTGCTCTGGTAGAAATAGGGTTTTAGCCCGCTCGCGCAGAGGGAGGGAGAGAGAGAGAGAGAGAGAGAGAGAAACTGCTTTCTTTCGTTTCCCGGGGGTTTTGAAAAACGACGTCGTTAGCGGGATGTGGACACTGGTAGCTGGAAAAACGTCCCTTTCACGGGTCTTAATCGGACTCATCGATCCGGCTAACGAGTAAAGACCACAACTCATTGGGCTATTGACTTCACACGCCGCTAAAACATGGGCTGGGCTGGTCTATGGAAGATGGGCCGGTGACTAGCGGGCCCGCCCATTAACCAAGGATCATTCCCTAAGCCCATCACCATAATTATAAATTGAAAATATAGCTGTTAAATTGATGGTAAACAATAAATTAAGTCTAAGTAATACAAAAAATGTTTTTAGTAGCAAAATAACAGCGTTATCAAGTACCATGAAATACATTTATGTTATTTCATGTGCATTTCAATCAACACAACAAAGAGGGCAATCAATCCCCGACCTCCCCTTATTGTAGGGTCTAGAAATAAACATGTATACAACTTCACCCCCACATGCACAAAGACTATTTCTGATATTTCGGGAACATTATATGACCAAAAAAATACTTGCCTTAACAAATTTCAAACTAAAAAAGTCCAAAAAGGCGGTACTTTGATACAAAGTTTACAGAAAAAAGTCCATCAAAATTTACTAAACAAAACGTGTGTGATTAAACAAAGGCTTATACTACTGATTCTTCTGCAANGAAAAAAGTCCAAAAAGGGGCGGTACTTTGATACAAAGTTTACAGAAAAAAGTCCATCAAAATTTACTAAACAAAACGTGTGTGATTAAACAAAGGCTTATACTACTGATTCTTCTGCAATTCTGCTGCTATATTTATGTACAATTCATATCAAGGGGAGAAGTCAATCACTATAAAAGTGTTCATGCCTTCTTGCTTTTCTTTGTTAGCCTGTCTATTTTTCTCACTTTTAGAAATGGTACTTCATTGTCCTTGTTGATGAGTCATATTGGTAGCATTCCATCAGTGACTTGGTTCTCCTCTGAAGAATCTGAGGGTTGAGATTTGGGTTTACTCATGATCCCAGAAAATCCATAACCAAGAGAACTTCCAGTAGTTTCACATAGCTGAGCACAAACACAAAATAATTTAGTAACTCCTTTTCATGCTCACGCAACCATTAAAAACATGTAAGACCAAAACTGCAAAAGTAATTTGTGGAATAACCAAAATTTAGTACCTCAGTAAGCTCAGATAGATGGCGAGACCTAAATTCATTAATTGTCGCTGCTATCNTTGGGCTCTACCTGGTTGTGGTAATAAGCATGTTCAAAAGGGAAAAAAAGGATTGTGGCAATAACCGTTAAAAATTGACCAATGCATCAGGTGTGACAAAGTACAAGAATGGCACAATATAATGACGAGGGAGGCAGATAAGCAAAAAGCAAACCATTCCCAACAGCTAAGGAATATTTCAGCACAAGTTCCTAAGTCTTTACCCATCATCGGGAATACCTTGCATGTAAGTCATCATTAACAGTTTACATTAATTTGATCCATTGTCTAAAGGCAAATAACTGTCAAGCAAATACTTTTCAAGTGCATGGATCATTGCCCCTATATTTGAAGCCTGAAACTAAAAATTACAGACTATGCACTTCAAATGCATAAAAAGGCATAAATTTCACTCATTTGCATTGTATCCACCTAGTCAAGAAAGTACGTCACCCAGCTGTATTTAAATTATGCTCTGAAGTTGACGTCCAATGGTGCCTTCGTCTAGGTATAGCGGTAGGGCCACTAAAGAGCAGGCACAAGGGTTAGAGTCACATCATGACTGGAGTGGGGAAAGAGTTATATTTACTGTTAATAGTCAAAAAAGAGAAAGTCCCTCGTCACTAAATGTATCCATATTGAACTTGTAAACCAAAAGGACCTAACGTGATAAACAACATTCTGCAGACTATGGTACAAATGCTTGCTCCACATATCAGTAATAAGCATAAGTTAGGTATTTCACCTCACTCTCTGCAGGTAATAAACTTCGCACATCATGCTGCTCAAAATGAGAGGCTATTAATTGGCCTCCAGCTGCTAACCATGGCGTGATGGCCATTGAAATCCCCACCACAAGAAACAACAAAGATGACAGGTGGGAAGACATTATACCCTGCAAACCAAGCCACTCAGAAAGATTAGTTGTATTTACTATGACGGTGATTGTAGGTATAAGCTGCACTGATGCCTGGCACCTACGAAATTATACCCTGCAAACCAAGCCACTCAGAAAGATTAGTTGTATTTACTATGATGGTGATTGTAGGTATAAGCTGCACTGATGCCTGGCACCTACGAAGCACGGATACTTTGTTGAGGTTAACGTACCCGCATCGGATACCGTATCAGATACGATACTCGTCAGATACTCGAGGATACGTATCGGATACTTCTTCTACGTATCCGATAATAATTAAATATTAAGATATTTCACGGATACTTTTGTAGTAGAGCAACATGTATAATTTTTTAATTGAACTTTTAACTACTCTTTTCGAATTCACATACTTTACAATACATTAACAAAAATTTCATATTACTTCCAAAGCACATGAGTGTTTTTTAAGTATTATCTACAATTACATGTCAAAAAACCATATAGTAAAGTTATTACATTATAATCTTAGTAAAAATTACTTCTAAATATTAGGCAAATATTAGTTTTGATTCTTTTAATTAGTCACTTCTCTTTGGAATATACCACAGTGACACGATATATATTTTCTTGAAACTAAAAAGAATTACTAATTTTCCTTATTATATGTTAAAGAACGACCAAAATATATAAGTGTTAAGTTGGTTGAAAAAAATAAAAATATTAAATATATTTTATTATAGCCGTATCCTGGCCGTACCCGTATCCTACTTTTTTAGACTTTATCGTATCGCCGTATCCGTATCGTATCGTACCCGTATCCTGTATCCGTATCCATGCTTCATNAAACGTGTGTGATTAAACAAAGGCTTATACTACTGATTCTTCTGCAATTCTGCTGCTATATTTATGTACAATTCATATCAAGGGGAGAAGTCAATCACTATAAAAGTGTTCATGCCTTCTTGCTTTTCTTTGTTAGCCTGTCTATTTTTCTCACTTTTAGAAATGGTACTTCATTGTCCTTGTTGATGAGTCATATTGGTAGCATTCCATCAGTGACTTGGTTCTCCTCTGAAGAATCTGAGGGTTGAGATTTGGGTTTACTCATGATCCCAGAAAATCCATAACCAAGAGAACTTCCAGTAGTTTCACATAGCTGAGCACAAACACAAAATAATTTAGTAACTCCTTTTCATGCTCACGCAACCATTAAAAACATGTAAGACCAAAACTGCAAAAGTAATTTGTGGAATAACCAAAATTTAGTACCTCAGTAAGCTCAGATAGATGGCGAGACCTAAATTCATTAATTGTCGCTGCTATCTCTGACATTGGCAGTTTAGCCTGTTCGTAGAAACAAGAAAACCATAAAACACAGAAGAAACCAGCCAGCCAATATACAGTTACATAGGTATGTAGTTATTCCGGTAGCAATGGCTTGATGCTATTGAATGTTAGTGTCAGCCAACAACTTCACAACAGAATTAAGAGCCACTACAGCTGGTAGATCCACATGATCAGATCCAAGTGCTATCTATTATAACATATAACCCTTATACCTATATACTCAAGCTCGAACTCATGAAAATTTCTCACACTATGTTGAATTCTTTCGGGTGACTTGCTTTCCATGGAGAGAGAGAGAAACAGAGAATAACGCAAAAATGAAAAAAATCCCATCAATCATTTTGTGTTGATGTTCTCCCAAAATGGGAAAAAAAAAAAAATCCCTTCAATCTATGTCTGGCAAGTCAAATGTATATCAATGAGTATAGCCTCTCAGCTTCACTAAAATATTATTCATTACCATGTGATTGCATACCACATGCACACCATTTACAATTACCAGGAAGTACCTGGAAAGCCAACCATCAATTCAAAGTAACAACTGCAGTAAAAGATTCAAAATGATTGAGTGGCATCCATTCCACTTACTTGTGCAAGAACAGCAGCTGCTAACTGTAGACTTGGTTCCAAGGTCTCCGGGACAACCTGAGAAATTTTCAACTCAGAAATAAATTATGACGTAGAAGTTGCTCAATATTTGAGGAACACAGTAAATAAATAACAAAGATTTATCAGCAATGATCAACAAACCATGAGCCCACACAACAGTACACTTCCACAAATCATGATCTGATTACATGTGGGTGAACTAAGGACAAAGTGGAAGAAAACAAATTTAAAAAGAAAAGGCAATGGAGAGATACCGCTGTTGCCCCTGCCTTTTCCAAGTTGAGACCATGATCAACATCATGAGCACGGACAAAAGTCTTTACGTTGGGGAAGTTCTTGCTCAAAGCCCAGACAGCTCTATAATTTGCGCCAGGAGTATCTAAAGTTATTGCTGCAGCACATGCCCTTTCAGCACCAACTTTATGGAGTACCTGGCAACCAGGAACACGTAGAAGCATGTCACAAAGAGACACTGCAGGAAGAATATGTAAGGCCTTCCACTATTTGATTTACCTCCCGACTACCAGCATCTCCAAAGTAAACAGGAAGATCAAGTGCCCGCCCAACTGCTACCCGATCACTGGAATCACCCGAAGTTTACATTAATTAGCTATTGCAAGTTAACCATATTCATTCATACTTGACTGACACAAATAATACATCCAAAGCATAGAACAAAAAAATGAAATTTGCCTTTTCTTTTTCCCATTTGCATTATCTAACATACACGCAGATATTTCAGAGAACCAAAAATTACTTTATAATACTGATACAAAACTAACGACCAAAGCATCGATAGTCCTGAGTCTTCCCTTCCAAGAGATAAGAGTTGACATCAAACAAACTGAAGCATGGTTATATTTGCTATAGGAAAAAATTGTAATAACAACAACTCCTAAACTCTTTTGGTCTTTTTATTTCTTGAGAAAGAGCCCCCTGGTTATGAGGCCTTCAAGAAGACAGGAATTAATAATTTTTTACTAAATTAACTAGTTTTCCCTGATGCATAGCTAAAGTATAAGCAATGAGCATCCAACTCCAGTCAACTCAACAAAACAAAACCAGACAATTCCTTGAATGATGTTGACTAGGATTCTATTGACATCATTCAACTCTGTATGCTTAAAATATTTAGTCAGAAAGCCAGACCATAGACCATTATAGCCTTGCTTCCTGCCTCAAGGCCCTCAACCCACTTTTTGACATTCCTTGGGGCTTAGTGCCTTCAACTTGAATTAAATGCTCCTCATTAGTGTGATCATTAGTCTTAACGTACATGCTTCTCATTGGTGATAAAGGGCAGCAGTTTAATTCCATTTAAAAAAAAAAGGAAGAAACTCATACCTCCTCACATCAAGAGCAACAAATGGAATTAGCCGTTCAGAAAGAAGCTGGGCAATGATCTGCAAGAACCAAAATACAAATAGAAGTAAAAACAGAACATATGAGATAACAATAGATCCTCTAAATAAATGTTTTTTCAAACTACTGCATCAAGAAGATTTAAAGGTCGTGGCAACACCTGGCCAACACGTCCAAATCCACAGATAATAATATGGTCTTGCAAATCATCTGTCTGAAAGAAAACACCAAACAACATCAAGATTTACGCACTGTGTAAATATTTCTGTACAATTGCATGTCAACCCTAAATGAGAAAAAAATGTCTGACTATGGATAAAACTTCAACTACAATATAAAGACTGGAAGAACACTGGAGTACTGGGCTCTACCTGGTTGTGGTAATAAGCATGTTCAAAAGGGAAAAAAAGGATTGTGGCAATAACCGTTAAAAATTGACCAATGCATCAGGTGTGACAAAGTACAAGAATGGCACAATATAATGACGAGGGAGGCAGATAAGCAAAAAGCAAACCATTCCCAACAGCTAAGGAATATTTCAGCACAAGTTCCTAAGTCTTTACCCATCATCGGGAATACCTTGCATGTAAGTCATCATTAACAGTTTACATTAATTTGATCCATTGTCTAAAGGCAAATAACTGTCAAGCAAATACTTTTCAAGTGCATGGATCATTGCCCCTATATTTGAAGCCTGAAACTAAAAATTACAGACTATGCACTTCAAATGCATAAAAAGGCATAAATTTCACTCATTTGCATTGTATCCACCTAGTCAAGAAAGTACGTCACCCAGCTGTATTTAAATTATGCTCTGAAGTTGACGTCCAATGGTGCCTTCGTCTAGGTATAGCGGTAGGGCCACTAAAGAGCAGGCACAAGGGTTAGAGTCACATCATGACTGGAGTGGGGAAAGAGTTATATTTACTGTTAATAGTCAAAAAAGAGAAAGTCCCTCGTCACTAAATGTATCCATATTGAACTTGTAAACCAAAAGGACCTAACGTNGAAAAAAAAAAATCCCTTCAATCTATGTCTGGCAAGTCAAATGTATACCAATGAGTATAGCCTCTCAGCTTCACTAAAATATTATTCATTACCATGTGATTGCATACCACATGCACACCATTTACAATTACCAGGAAGTACCTGGAAAGCCAACCATCAATTCNATGATAAACAACATTCTGCAGACTATGGTACAAATGCTTGCTCCACATATCAGCAATAAGCATAAGTTAGGTATTTCACCTCACTCTCTGCAGGTAATAAACTTCGCACATNATACCACATGCACACCATTTACAATTACCAGGAAGTACCTGGAAAGCCAACCATCAATTCAAAGTAACAACTGCAGTAAAAGATTCAAAATGATTGAGTGGCATCCATTCCACTTACTTGTGCAAGAACAGCAGCTGCTAACTGTAGACTTGGTTCCAAGGTCTCCGGGACAACCTGAGAAATTTTCAACTCAGAAATAAATTATGACGTAGAAGTTGCTCAATATTTGAGGAACACAGTAAATAAATAACAAAGATTTATCAGCAATGATCAACAAACCATGAGCCCACACAACAGTACACTTCCACAAATCATGATCTGATTACATGTGGGTGAACTAAGGACAAAGTGGAAGAAAACAAATTTAAAAAGAAAAGGCAATGGAGAGATACCGCTGTTGCCCCTGCCTTTTCCAAGTTGAGACCATGATCAACATCATGAGCACGGACAAAAGTCTTTACGTTGGGGAAGTTCTTGCTCAAAGCCCAGACAGCTCTATAATTTGCGCCAGGAGTATCTAAAGTTATTGCTGCAGCACATGCCCTTTCAGCACCAACTTTATGGAGTACCTGGCAACCAGGAACACGTAGAAGCATGTCACAAAGAGACACTGCAGGAAGAATATGTAAGGCCTTCCACTATTTGATTTACCTCCCGACTACCAGCATCTCCAAAGTAAACAGGAAGATCAAGTGCCCGCCCAACTGCTACCCGATCACTGGAATCACCCGAAGTTTACATTAATTAGCTATTGCAAGTTAACCATATTCATTCATACTTGACTGACACAAATAATACATCCAAAGCATAGAACAAAAAAATGAAATTTGCCTTTTCTTTTTCCCATTTGCATTATCTAACATACACGCAGATATTTCAGAGAACCAAAAATTACTTTATAATACTGATACAAAACTAACGACCAAAGCATCGATAGTCCTGAGTCTTCCCTTCCAAGAGATAAGAGTTGACATCAAACAAACTGAAGCATGGTTATATTTGCTATAGGAAAAAATTGTAATAACAACAACTCCTAAACTCTTTTGGTCTTTTTATTTCTTGAGAAAGAGCCCCCTGGTTATGAGGCCTTCAAGAAGACAGGAATTAATAATTTTTTACTAAATTAACTAGTTTTCCCTGATGCATAGCTAAAGTATAAGCAATGAGCATCCAACTCCAGTCAACTCAACAAAACAAAACCAGACAATTCCTTGAATGATGTTGACTAGGATTCTATTGACATCATTCAACTCTGTATGCTTAAAATATTTAGTCAGAAAGCCAGACCATAGACCATTATAGCCTTGCTTCCTGCCTCAAGGCCCTCAACCCACTTTTTGACATTCCTTGGGGCTTAGTGCCTTCAACTTGAATTAAATGCTCCTCATTAGTGTGATCATTAGTCTTAACGTACATGCTTCTCATTGGTGATAAAGGGCAGCAGTTTAATTCCATTTAAAAAAAAAAGGAAGAAACTCATACCTCCTCACATCAAGAGCAACAAATGGAATTAGCCGTTCAGAAAGAAGCTGGGCAATGATCTGCAAGAACCAAAATACAAATAGAAGTAAAAACAGAACATATGAGATAACAATAGATCCTCTAAATAAATGTTTTTTCAAACTACTGCATCAAGAAGATTTAAAGGTCGTGGCAACACCTGGCCAACACGTCCAAATCCACAGATAATAATATGGTCTTGCAAATCATCTGTCTGAAAGAAAACACCAAACAACATCAAGATTTACGCACTGTGTAAATATTTCTGTACAATTGCATGTCAACCCTAAATGAGAAAAAAATGTCTGACTATGGATAAAACTTCAACTACAATATAAAGACTGGAAGAACACTGGAGTACTGGGCTCTACCTGGTTGTGGTAATAAGCATGTTCAAAAGGGAAAAAAAGGATTGTGGCAATAACCGTTAAAAATTGACCAATGCATCAGGTGTGACAAAGTACAAGAATGGCACAATATAATGACGAGGGAGGCAGATAAGCAAAAAGCAAACCATTCCCAACAGCTAAGGAATATTTCAGCACAAGTTCCTAAGTCTTTACCCATCATCGGGAATACCTTGCATGTAAGTCATCATTAACAGTTTACATTAATTTGATCCATTGTCTAAAGGCAAATAACTGTCAAGCAAATACTTTTCAAGTGCATGGATCATTGCCCCTATATTTGAAGCCTGAAACTAAAAATTACAGACTATGCACTTCAAATGCATAAAAAGGCATAAATTTCACTCATTTGCATTGTATCCACCTAGTCAAGAAAGTACGTCACCCAGCTGTATTTAAATTATGCTCTGAAGTTGACGTCCAATGGTGCCTTCGTCTAGGTATAGCGGTAGGGCCACTAAAGAGCAGGCACAAGGGTTAGAGTCACATCATGACTGGAGTGGGGAAAGAGTTATATTTACTGTTAATAGTCAAAAAAGAGAAAGTCCCTCGTCACTAAATGTATCCATATTGAACTTGTAAACCAAAAGGACCTAACGTGATAAACAACATTCTGCAGACTATGGTACAAATGCTTGCTCCACATATCAGTAATAAGCATAAGTTAGGTATTTCACCTCACTCTCTGCAGGTAATAAACTTCGCACATCATGCTGCTCAAAATGAGAGGCTATTAATTGGCCTCCAGCTGCTAACCATGGCGTGATGGCCATTGAAATCCCCACCACAAGAAACAACAAAGATGACAGGTGGGAAGACATTATACCCTGCAAACCAAGCCACTCAGAAAGATTAGTTGTATTTACTATGACGGTGATTGTAGGTATAAGCTGCACTGATGCCTGGCACCTACGAAATTATACCCTGCAAACCAAGCCACTCAGAAAGATTAGTTGTATTTACTATGATGGTGATTGTAGGTATAAGCTGCACTGATGCCTGGCACCTACGAAGCACGGATACTTTGTTGAGGTTAACGTACCCGCATCGGATACCGTATCAGATACGATACTCGTCGGATACTCGAGGATACGTATCGGATACTTCTTCTACGTATCCGATAATAATTAAATATTAAGATATTTCACGGATACTTTTGTAGTAGAGCAACATGTATAATTTTTTAATTGAACTTTTAACTACTCTTTTCGAATTCACATACTTTACAATACATTAACAAAAATTTCATATTACTTCCAAAGCACATGAGTGTTTTTTAAGTATTATCTACAATTACATGTCAAAAAACCATATAGTAAAGTTATNAGCACATAAGTGTTTTTTAAGTATTATCTACAATTACATGTCAAAAAACCATATAGTAAAGTTATTACATTATAATCTTAGTAAAAATTACTTCTAAATATTAGGCAAATATTAGTTTTGATTCTTTTAATTAGTCACTTCTCTTTGGAATATACCACAGTGACACGATATATATTTTCTTGAAACTAAAAAGAATTACTAATTTTCCTTATTATATGTTAAAGAACGACCAAAATATATAAGTGTTAAGTTGGTTGAAAAAAATAAAAATATTAAATATATTTTATTATAGCCGTATCCTGGTCGTACCCGTATCCTACTTTTTTAGACTTTATCGTATCGCCGTATCCGTATCGTATCGTACCCGTATCCTATATCCGTATCCATGCTTCATAGCCTGACACATTAATGACTTAAGAAGTCAATGCATCNGAAAAAAATAAAAATATTAAATATATTTTATTATAGCCGTATCCTGGCCGTACCCGTATCCTACTTTTTTAGACTTTATCGTATCGCCGTATCCGTATCGTATCGTACCCGTATCCTGTATCCGTATCCATGCTTCATAGCCTGACACATTAATGACTTAAGAAGTCAATGCATCTTAACCATTTGAGGGCAGGAAGGAAGCAGGATGAGTGTTGCCAATGTGTACCAGTTGGAAAAGGGAGCAACTAAAAGGAACAGTGCATTGTAAACTATCATTCTAACTCAATCTACTTCACAGAAAAGTAAATGATGCAGGAAAACCATCCCACCCAAAAAAAAATGCACCCGCTAAAATATTTAGATCACAATCAAAAGAGAGAGATCAAGAGAGGCTCTTAAGTAATGGGGGCATGAAATTTAGATGAAGCACTAGCTTCCAAGCTAAAGTGGACCACCTCTCGAAGAGATGAATAAGATGTCATATTGTAATTAGATAATAAGTGTAAATCATAACTCAGATGATTAGGGGCAATAGTCTATTTAAATTATATATAGGCATTGATATGTTAGGCATGTTTCAGAAGCATCAAGATGCATTCTGGAATGTTAGGCTTGAAGTTTTTGATATCTCATTTCTGGAGAGGCTGCATATTATCTGTTTTGAGATATGATTCGTGAGCATTCATCTTGTCTTTGAGAGTGACACTAGCCATTCCTAAGTGGCTCAAACTTTTGGCCATCACATAAGTGACTCCATGCATTTTTTTTTAGTGTGCGCACATGTATATTTACGATGTAAATTGCTTATGGAAGGTCAGAGTACTTTCTTCTCTTTCAAGATATGCAGCACTAGTTGTACCACTGTGTGCTTAGTCCATTCCAATTGTATAAATCTCGTTTTGTTTTCTTCATTCCTCATTTTAGAATAACGTATCCATGCATAAGATATTAACTCAACCAAGTCATTAATAATATNGTGTGCTTAGTCCATTCCAATTGTATAAATCTCGTTTTGTTTTCTTCATTCCTCGTTTTAGAATAACGTATCCATGCATAAGATATTAACTCAACCAAGTCATTAATAATATCAAGCTTTAATTATACAGGTCCCTGAGACTTATTTATTTTTTTAAAAAAAAAGAAGAAACAGAGGATCCTGTCAATCATGAAGGCAGCATGTAAAATCTAATTAGAACATTGCCAAGAAATTTCACTAAAGCAATATAAACTATTGGCTATTAAACATTTATGCAAAAGAAAACGAAATAAAAAAAGGTTTATTAAGAAGAGTAGATAGTAAAACTTGCAAGAAAAGTACTTAGTTGATCAAGATGGAAACCTGATTGACAGCTTCACCAAAAGCCACAAATGCGAATTCTCCACCGGGCGCAAGAAGAAGACCAACTCTTATTGCAGATATTATAGAAACGCCAAAAATTCTGCCAACTAATGCAACCAACAAGGCCTTCCCACAAATTAAAAGTCCCAATGTCCCCATAATAACAGGAAAATTTGAAATAAGAAGTTTAGGATCAATGGACATTCCAACCTGAAAACAAAAAAAAATATATGTTGCTAAGTGCAATTATAAGAGTAACAATCTCTGCTTAGTAACAAAGTAATTGTATCGATCAGTTAAAATAAATTAGAAAAAGTTACAGCGTCCAGATTCCAGAAAGAAAACTACCATCATAAGATCCTATTTCAGTGTATGTGCTGAATAACACAATCAATATCACATAGAAAAGCAGTAGGACAAACACAAAATATCAAGATCGAATAATGAACGTCTAGAGCCACATTCAACGTACACATTTTATGAACAAATGATAAGTGGATCTTACAGATGCCAAAGATAGGGCCTACCGTCATAAAAAAGACACCCAATAGAAGGCCACGATATGGAGCAATATCAGATTCAACCTGTAATGAAAATTCAGTTTCCGCAAGGAGCAAACCAGCTAAAAATGCTCCCAGTGCCATGGAAAGGCCAGCCTGCTCAATTTTTTATAACAGAGGCATGTTATTGCTGCTGTAACAATATACAAAACTAACAATCAATAGCACAAGTCCAAATACCCTGGCAGTAAGGACACTAGTCCCCAGAATGACAAGAAGTGTATTTGCAGAGAATATTTCTGCATTTTGATTCTCTGCAATTTGCTTGTAAATTGGCCGAAGCAGCTGCAAATTAGCACACAGAATGAGATGCTGAAGTTTACAAATCCTTAAGTAAAAACTGAAATTCTTGATCGGCTTTGACAAAAGCTATAGAGCAGTTCCCATGGTAAGATGTACGAAATAACTGCACAACAGCTTATGGATACGTGTCTCCTTCAGTACATTAATTATCAGCAATGAAAATTTATCACATACGTTCTTGTCAGATACTATTTGAGAACCTTAAGAATATAAACACTTGAGATAGCATAATTTTATATATCCAACAACATCTAGAACTCACCAATCGTCCTCCAGCAATTATGGCAGTAATAGAAACAATGGCCTTCACAGCAGCCAATCCAAGTGCTTCTGCGATTGCTTGGAAACCAACCTGAAAACAGATGAAATGATTGCCAATTATAACAACCTAAGCAGCAGCAGTGGCAGAAACATCTATAATAGGTTACAACTACCACAATCAAGCAAAAACCAAAAAGAAAATAATATCCAATGGTTATGAATGCGACATTTGAAGTTATCAACGTTAGCATTATATGGTCAAAGATGATGGATGTGCCATTGTTGACCAAAAAGATTGCATAACATTCAACAAGCAAGATAAGATGCATCTGAATTCTTTCCATAAACAAATTGTGAGAATCAGAAAGAAATGTTACCCCTCCTTTGGATGAATTTGGTGAAATAAGAGGTATGAGTATTAGCAAAACCACAACAGCCAAATCCTGGATGAAAACCAAAGAAGAAAATGCTGTCACATAGAGACGAAAATAAAATCAAGCTCAACGTTTCACATAACAATGATCACATTGAACAAATAACAAAGAACACTCCAAGAGAATGATAGGAACGAAATTCAAGAAATAATTAGAAAGGGGCAGACGGAGAGGTAAAACCGTAACAACCTAATGAACTACAAATGCCAATCAAAACGACCATTACAACCATTTACACTTTAATTGACCATTGTAATATAAACAAAACTCAGAAGCAAGGATAAGTAGTCGTTTGTGCTACTTGTGTAAGAACCGTAATGTATTGCCATTAATCGACTTCCAAGACCAACATTATTTTATCAACAGTTTTTCTTCAAAAAAAACAGCACTATTTTTTAGATCATAAAGCTACCTGGAAAAGTAATACAGAGAATGTAGCTCGTCCATGACGAGATGTGCTCTCACCTCGTTCCTGCAATACCTGTCAAAGAAATTCACAAGAATTAAAACAACTGCAAGCTAAGACTGTATCAATATATCAGGGCTTCTTGATCCCTAATAAAACAATGACTTAGGAATTAAAAAGGTAAAAGCCAAAGGGATAAAACTTCATAGCTAGACGAAGCTTGAAAAGGGTCATTTAAGATAAACTGAAAAAAAGGTACTAAATACCATAGAACTGAACATAGATTCTGATGCCAGAGCATTAGCCAAAAATCCCATCATGTTGTGATGATTCTTCAGTGGTATGCAGAGTCATCTAAGTACTATCAGAGGCAAGCACAAAGGCTATGTGCAGTATTAGACAAGCTGTTCAGAGTTATCTTTAAAGGTACCTTTCAACATTCTCAGAGACTGCAACTATGTTGCCACAATCTGGATCTGAATATGTTACAAATGCCATTTTAGATCTAAATATAATTAGGATTGGCCAGTAATCAGTTTTCAGGTTCAGTCATATATGTTTTTCTGGAAGTTGCTGAACCAAGACCCAACCAGGTTACCCTTTTTCATGTGACAAGATAGAAAAGCCCTCTTTAGTCTTTAATATAAGAAAATGGTAAAGAATTGATAGAAATTAGTCAAAAATAGGGATCATTGCTGGTTTCTATAGCAAAAACTTGTGCTACCAGACATGAAGACATAGTTTGTGTCTAGCACTTCCTTTGAATGGGATCTCGTTTTTNGGAAATTAGTCAAAAATAGGGATCATTGCTGGTTTCTATAGCAAAAACTTGTGCTGCCAGACATGAAGACATAGTTTGTGTCTAGCACTTCCTTTGAATGGGATCTCGTTTTTTTTATCTTCAGTTCTTTCTTTCTTTCTTTCTTTCTTTGAACTTTTCCATTCTGATAGTTGTCTGAATTTGACGTTTTCACACGAGCCAAAAAATTGCGTTGAATTAATAATTGCTAAAGTAAAGGACACATTTTCTTCCTTTTTTTTCCGAAAGGTACAGACACATATTCATGGTGGAGAAAACTTGATCTTCAGTTATAAACACATCAAAATTCATTTAGAAGCAAAAACTGCAAGGACAGTTACCTGAAGGACAACAGCAGTTGAAGATAATGCCAGGCCATTCCCAACAACAAGTGCAGCAGGACCTGGCTGCCCAGCAACAAAATGAGCAACCAAGCCAACCACCACTGCTGTCACCAAGACCTGCATTTCTTTTCCACATCAAAGATCTAAAATAAGAAACTAATCATCGATTCTGTTAGAAATCAAAAAGACAAAAAGTCTTTTTGTAAAAACACATATGGTGATGATTGAAAAATGATATTCAACCACCTGAGCGGAACCCAAGCCAAAAACATATTTCTTCATGGAACTTAATCTTTCAACAGAAAGCTGCAAAACGAGGAGTGAGGTCAGTTTCATTCTCTTCCTTTCATGAATGTAAAACAGCAATGTCTTAAAGAAACCTTGACCATCCACCTCAAGGCCAATATTGAACAGCAAGAAAACAACTCCGAATTCAGCTATCGCCTTTGTTCCATGTACGTGACGAATAATAGAGAGGCCATAAGGTCCAATCAAGATGCCAGCAGTAAGATACCCAAGTACGGGACTGCCTAATCATTCCAGCAGATAGAAGATACCCCATCAATGAACAGTATATAGACTTCGGGAGTACATTTCACAAGGGAGAAGATGGCCCAATAACATGATGGCCAAACAGAACAGTACAGTTTTCACCACTAAAATTGCAGAACTATACTCACAACAAAATAGAATGTTCTACCTGCAGGCTAAGTTCAAGAAAGCAAATAACAAGCATGATAAACAAAAAGCCTACCAGAAAACCGGGCAACAGAAAACAAGAGGTACCATCAATTATAAGACCAGACTTAAGTAACAAACTTCTTTATGCACAGATAATCTGTGAGCGCGTGCTGAAAAATTTGTAGACAAACATGTTCAATGTCAAAGCATGTAGTATCAGACAGCTTTATGGGACCAGACGAAGAAGATGCATATGAGAAGGCTTCAATTTCATAGTCACAATAATAAACATAGGAAATTCAGTCACCTCCAGGGATTTTCTGGAATATAGGCACCATTATAACACTTGCAAGCAATAACCATAATATGTCGAAGAGAGAAGCTTCTTCCTCATTTATCTGAGAAAAAAGGAACACTTGATCAGGAAGTACAAAAAACTAGATATACAAATAGGATAGAACATTATGTTTGAACCAAGAATCTCAAACAAATGGTAATCTGAGCACATGCCTCTTGATGAGGAAGCATCTCCATTAATTCTTTTATTTTCTTGGGAAATTTCCTTATTTGTTGGACAAGAGGCTTTGTGTTTGAAGAAACTTCATCAATACTAGTGGTGATAATATCTGGCTGTTGAAATAGCTGACCAATTGTCCCTTTCCGGCTGGCATAAAAGGCAACCCTGTATGTGACAAAAAGAAGGCAACACTTCATAGTAGATATACCAAACTAATAACCGACATCACCCTCGGCTATCAGAAAAAAGAAGGAACAAAAAATTAATAAGTTAAACAATTGATATTGAACAGACATATATTTGATGCATATAAATGTAACAAAGAAATAATGGTAGATGAAATCCAATTCTGATGATAATGCATACCCTGCTCCGACAAGCAACAACCCAACCACCAGCTTAGGCAACTGTTTCCTTGCAGACTCTATAAGAGTATGGAAAACTGAAGCCGGTGTGAATTCAGTCCCATCTACATGGAAAGAGAAGAATGACGCAGAAAAGAAACGGGATGACTTATTCAATAATGCTTTTGGAGAGTTGAATGCCGAGGCATCCCTAGTCAAATCCTTCTGCATTTCCAGTTTTTTAGGTTGGATATTCTTTGACTTCTCTGCATCTACGTCAGTCTCTTTTGGTGAGTATACACTTAATTTTCCATTCTCTCGATCACTCTCATCAGATAAACTCAATTCCTCAAACCTCTTGTTGGGTGCATCAAACTGATTCTCTGGTAAAGTATTACTTACCAAAGAAGGACCATCAACTGGCACATCTCTGTCTCTTTCAACAATGACATAACCTGAATTACCTTGACTCATCTTCTTCTCCTCCTCAAGAAGTGCACCCTCAATCAAATTTTGTCCTTGGGATGATGATCCATTCTGGGGTATTGCACTTTCTAAGGTATCCGCATGGGAAACGGAGATATTTTTATCTGCTCTCCGTAAGGCAAGCTCTGCATCATTCACGTGCTGTGTAGCCTCAAGCTCAAGAGCAACAGCTTGCTCTGCTAAAAACATTATATTCGCCACGTCCTCCTCAGCTTTCAAAGCATTCTTTTGTGCTTGCCCCACAACCTCATTCAGCCTGTCCGCTTCCCTTTGCAACTCCTCTTTTCTGCACAGCAACTGTCTCAGGTCTGCCTCGCAAGTTGCCAGATGATCCTGACACTCTCTGATATCATCCTGAGCAGCCAAGAGTGCTTCCTCCTCTTTCTTCATCGATTTCAATTGTTCCCCTCCACTGTCATAATCTGAATCAGTCCCTCTAGAAGCTTCTGGAGAAACCACTCTTTCTTTCGCAATTGCTAATGAATCCAGTGCCACCTGAAGCCTCGCCTCAGCCAAAGAAAGTGCCATTGTTGCTTTCTGAACAGCTTCTTTAGCAACACCCTCTTCGTTTACAATCTCTTGAATAGTATTAAGGGTAAAAGTGACATCATTCCAAGCATTTTCTGCTTCATCTTTTAATGCTATAGCAGTTTCTGATATTCTCTGAGCCTTCTCTTCAAACATGGTACTGTTAAGCTGTGCAACCTCCAACTCCTTAAGTGCTTTTTGCAACAATTCCCTCAACTCATCTAAACTGGAAACCTCTACTTCTTTGTCTTCTTCCTCTACTTTTTCTTTTGAATCATTCGACTCTGCACTGACATGACTTCCTACTCTCGAGCTCTCTTCAGCAGGGCTTTTTTCGAATTCCACATTTAGACCATTACCATCAGTGTATGCAACCGAATCATTTCCCTGACATCGCGATTTTACAACACCCCTTGATGACTTAACTGTACACCTGAATTTGCATACGGAAGATTTGCAAAAATTATAACACCACAAATGACTATTTAATTCACTTTTAGAAACGGTAGATTTGATGACACTGCCACTGTATGCAGTGAGTCTTTTCAACTTCTTTGCCGGGTATGATTCCAATAAAAGCCTCGGATTGCCAACAAACCTTTTACAATGGAAACCTTCATACGTAAAACCAGAATACAAACTCAGTCTATCCAACATTCTATAACTCGCACCTTCACAGCCATGGGTCACATTTGGCTGTCGATAACCATATGCAAAATCCATACCTCGCTGCATTACCTTCTAAAATCTAAAGTACAAAACAAAAAATAGCCATTTCACAAACACATTGGCTTCAAATCAAATACCAGGCAAAATAATGAATATCACACATAAAGATAAGGTAACTTATGTCAATTGAACTCGAGTAAAGCCTTTATACTTTTAACACTTCTCATAATATTTTCATCTATATATGCATGCACGGACAGACACACACACATGTATTATTCTATTTAATATTATAGTTGGGAAGTAATGGTAAAAAATTCATCCCAAAATTTCTTTTCTTGCAAAAAAATATCATTTTCATTGCACGACCCCCAATATTAGACAACCCCACCAATTCGCACCTATACCTCTCTTCTCTTTTCCCTACCTCTTTCTTATTTTATTCTTGTTCATTTAATTCAAAATTGTGTGATTAAAGAGAAAAAAGAAAAATAAATTTTAAATGTTGTACGATCAATGTTCGTATGTGGTATTGTAAATGTTATATATATATATATATATATGAGCAAACAGATAAGGAAATTGCTTAGTTCAGTGGAAAATTGTTCGNCAATAGCCATTTCACAAACACATTGGCTTCAAATCAAATACCTGGCAAAATAATGAATATCACACATAAAGATAAAGTAACTTATGTCAATTGAACTCGAGTAAAGCCTTTATACTTTTAACACTTCTCATAATATTTTCATCTATATATGCATGCACGGACAGACACACACACATGTATTATTCTATTTAATATTATAGTTAGGAAGTAATGGTAAAAAATTCATCCCAAAATTTCTTTTCTTGCAAAAAAATATCATTTTCATTGCACGACCCCCAATATTAGACAACCCCACCAATTCGCACCTATACCTCTCTTCTCTTTTCCCTACCTCTTTCTTATTNTCATGTATTATTCTATTTAATATTATAGTTGGGAAGTAATGGTACAAAATTCATCCCAAAATTTCTTTTCTCGCAAAAAAATATCATTTTCATTGCACGACCCCCAATATTAGACAACCCCACCAATTCGCACCTATACCTCTCTTCTCTTTTCCCTACCTCTTTCTTATTTTATTCTTGTTCATTTAATTCAAAATTGTGTGATTAAAGAGAAAATAGAAAAATAAATTTTAAATGTTGTACGATCAATGTTCGTATGTGGTATTGTAAATGTTATATATATATGAGCAAACAGATAAGGAAATTGCTTAGTTCAGTGGAAAATTGTTCGGGCTTTCAAGCTTGGAATGCACAATCATGTTTGAGAGTAGCCACCCTGTTGGAGTATACTAGATGTTAGGCTTATATCTAGCAAACCCAACACCCTGCGTATGCAGGACAGCACTGGGTAATTATCTTTTTGTTTATGAACACATGCAAGATCATTTAATAATATGCAGTAGCAGAACCACGATATAGCCAAGGGGAGCAATTCCCCACACTTGAATTTTGAGAATCATCCGGATATATTATATATATCATGAGCCTCCACTTTACTATTGAAATGCTGAATAGTATTGTGCCCATGACCGTTATAAAGTCCTCTATACCAAAACAAAAGTCTCATATTGTGTTTTTTAAAGATTACATGAAGCTTTGAAACAAGATATCTTCTCTCAATAATTTTGCACCATCATTGGCCATATTAGACATAAACTATGGTAGTACAAAATTTGTTGTTTCTATTTTTAGAGTGTAATTTTTAGTTAAGGAAACCTTTTATGTGGTTCTCCTACATTGAGCTAAGTTTATTAAGCTTGTTGCATCATGAGATTTGTTTCTTGGTTTATTTGGGTTCTTGGACTTTCTTTGAATTGTTTCTATTGAAAGCTTCTCGTGCACAATTTTCTTTTTTGGCTCTTTTTTTAAGCCGAGTATTTGTCTTTTCCTTATAATGTGATGAATTATAACTTACGATATGGAAGTTCATTGCAATCCTAGGTGCTTTAGGGATAATCATAGGGCTTTTTTTAATACACATCCATACACATATTTAAAAAAAAAAAGGTGCATCCCATGCGCTTGTGCCATTGTGGGGTCTAGGGAGGATTAGGTGTACATAACCTTACATCTACAAGAGTTATTTCCACAACTTAGACTCATGTTGTCCAAGTCACAATAGAGCTACCTTTTTGGCCCCCCAAAAAACAATTTTGGCTCCACCCATGATCATACATATTCAAATTATGTATTTATGCACGTAGCATAAGTGTGTTTATATAAATTTGAACATGGAATTGCTTTTGGCTGCCAAAACCATATACAGATTCTTGAGTCCAACCTTTCTAATTTGCTAAGATACAAAAGGGGTGTTTGGTATGGTGTATAAACCGGGATTACCCCATAAGGATTGGATAAAAATGAGGTGGGGCCCATTTATCCTTGGTTTGGCAAGGAAAAGTGAGGCTAGACATTCATACTTATTGAAAAAATCAGCCGGTATGATTTGGATCTTTTATCCCTTCTGAATAGGACACACAAATCCCACCAAAAGTTTGGGATTATCTTTTTGCCAACAGGATTGAGGGCCAAATTTACCATGACACCCCTCTCCACCCAAAAGTAGGGTTTTGTTTNGTTGGTTTATTTGGGTTCTTGGACTTTCTTTGAATTGTTTCTATTGAAAGCTTCTCGTGCACAATTTTCTTTTTTGGCTCTTTTTTTAAGCCGAGTATTTGTCTTTTCCTTATAATGTGATGAATTATAACTTACGATATGGAAGTTCATTGCAATCCTAGGTGCTTTAGGGATAATCATAGGGCTTTTTTTAATACACATCCATACACATATTTAAAAAAAAAAAGGTGCATCCCATGCGCTTGTGCCATTGTGGGGTCTAGGGAGGATTAGGTGTACATAACCTTACATCTACAAGAGTTATTTCCACAACTTAGACTCATGTTGTCCAAGTCACAATAGAGCTACCTTTTTGGCCCCCCCAAAAAACAATTTTGGCTCCACCCATGATCATACATATTCAAATTATGTATTTATGCACGTAGCATAAGTGTGTTTATATAAATTTGAACATGGAATTGCTTTTGGCTGCCAAAACCATATACAGATTCTTGAGTCCAACCTTTCTAATTTGCTAAGATACAAAAGGGGTGTTTGGTATGGTGGATAAACCGGGATTACCCCATAAGGATTGGATAAAAATGAGGTGGGGCCCATTTATCCTTGGTTTGGCAAGGAAAAGTGAGGCTAGACATTCATACTTATTGAAAAAATCAGCCGGTATGATTTGGATCTTTTATCCCTTCTGAATAGGACACACAAATCCCACCAAAAGTTTGGGATTATCTTTTTGCCAACAGGATTGAGGGCCAAATTTACCATGACACCCCTCTCCACCCAAAAGTAGGGTTTTGTTTATATTCCCTTTCCCCTTTTCAATGGTCCCCCCCACTTACCCGAGAACGGCGATTGTCCTCATTTGGCAAGGAAGGTATGTTTCCTTTCTCTATCTATGTCTCTCTCTCTATATCTTTGTCCCTCTCTCTCTCTGTATATATATATATATATATATATATATATATATTTACAATCAGTAAAATGTTCTATACACCCTTTAAATACACACCCCCATATGTAATATACCAAATTCAGGTGCTTATAAAGACAAACAAGGCATTAATCATACAATGAAGGAATACCCAACAAGCATTTTGGTGAGTAATCAAAAGGGCAATTACGAATTTAAGAGTTAAATCAATACANTCCTAGGTGCTTTAGGGATAATCATAGGGCTTTTTTTAATACACATCCATACACATATTTAAAAAAAAAAAGGTGCATCCCATGCGCTTGTGCCATTGTGGGGTCTAGGGAGGATTAGGTGTACATAACCTTACATCTACAAGAGTTATTTCCACAACTTAGACTCATGTTGTCCAAGTCACAATAGAGCTACCTTTTTGGCCCCCCCAAAAAACAATTTTGGCTCCACCCATGATCATACATATTCAAATTATGTATTTATGCACGTAGCATAAGTGTGTTTATATAAATTTGAACATGGAATTGCTTTTGGCTGCCAAAACCATATACAGATTCTTGAGTCCAACCTTTCTAATTTGCTAAGATACAAAAGGGGTGTTTGGTATGGTGGATAAACCGGGATTACCCCATAAGGATTGGATAAAAATGAGGTGGGGCCCATTTATCCTTGGTTTGGCAAGGAAAAGTGAGGCTAGACATTCATACTTATTGAAAAAATCAGCCGGTATGATTTGGATCTTTTATCCCTTCTGAATAGGACACACAAATCCCACCAAAAGTTTGGGATTATCTTTTTGCCAACAGGATTGAGGGCCAAATTTACCATGACACCCCTCTCCACCCAAAAGTAGGGTTTTGTTTATATTCCCTTTCCCCTTTTCAATGGTCCCCCCCACTTACCCGAGAACGGCGATTGTCCTCATTTGGCAAGGAAGGTATGTTTCCTTTCTCTATCTATGTCTCTCTCTCTATATCTTTGTCCCTCTCTCTCTCTGTATATATATATATATATATATATATATATATATTTACAATCAGTAAAATGTTCTATACACCCTTTAAATACACACCCCCATATGTAATATACCAAATTCAGGTGCTTATAAAGACAAACAAGGCATTAATCATACAATGAAGGAATACCCAACAAGCATTTTGGTGAGTAATCAAAAGGGCAATTACGAATTTAAGAGTTAAATCAATACATATAAGCATAGACATGGTGGCTGATCTGGTGATGGAAGAATGCTCACGTTGGGGGTTTACGGTTTGAGACGGCAAACGATAAGTCATGGGCAGATGGGTTCCACTGAGATATGTCAACCAACCATCTCTGAACACCCATCTCTAGTTCCATTTTCGCACCAAAATTTCTCACGTATGATCTGAACGGTATCATTTCAATTTTAGTTGTTCTTGTTGCAAAAGGCTTTTTTTTTTTTTGGGATGTTGTAGACANTTTATGCACGTAGCATAAGTGTGTTTATATAAATTTGAACATGGAATTGCTT